AAAAATAAAAAATAAAAAATAAAAAATAAAAATAAAAAATAAAAATAAAAAATAAAAATAAAAAATAAAAATAAAAAATAAAAATAAAAATAAGGGGCAGGGTCGTGTCGATGATTCACGTCGTCGACCGTCGACGCACGAAACAGGGGAGCAACCAGAACAGAAGGTTTGGGTGGTGACGGTGTTGAGAATAACAACGAAATAATAAAATTTGGGCTTCAAGTTTTCGTCCGCCACAATCGTCAACGCTCCTCCCTGTGGGAAAGAGGCAAAAAAAAAAAAAAAAAAAAAAAAAAAAAAAAAAAAAAAAAAAAAAAAAAAAAAAACCCAGCGGAGCTCGTCACAACTCGCGGTCCTGTGATAGCCCGGACACGGACGGACAGCGCGTGTATGGGCTCCCGTTGCCCGTTATTGCTTCTTGCGATAAGACGGCTGGGAAAACAAAGGGAGCCTGTGGCAACTTCCGTACACCTGGTGCTGCTTCGCCGGTGCCATCGGCCCTTTTCTTTTCCTTTCTTTTTCTTTTCTTTTAGGTTTATTTTTTCCCTTCTTTTTTTTGGATGCGGCTCGAGCAACTGCGTCGGAGACGCGGACGATCGGTTCGCGAAGAACGGCTTCGTTCGAAACAGCGCCGGGCTTCGACGTGGCAAACGACCGCAGAACGAGAACCTCGTCGACCGACTCCAGGTAGGACTCGTATTCACGCGGCGACGTCACGGACTCCTCAGCCTTGCAAGCGCGGCGACGTCCACAGGCGCTCGGCGGAGTAAGGCCCGGTCCAGGAACGGTCCTTATCTTGCTTGGCGGATCAGCATCGTATCTTATCCCACGCGTTGTCGCCCAACCCTTCTCTTTTCGTAGGTGACGATGATTGCCGCACACCGTCACATGCAGAGTCTTTTTTTCAGCTCGCTGTGGACCCCCTGCAATGGACAATTGCTTTTTTTTTTCTTCTCTCCTCGAGGCACTCCACCGACAGATGGAAAAGGCATGCAAAGAAGGCGTCAGCAGAACGCCTACCGTAGCACGCGCATTAATTCCAAGGAAATCGGGGAACGCAGCCGAGAGGCTCATCGCTGTCCTTCGTACGGTGCTCTGCTCCACCAAGGTTTCATGCCACGCACTACCGAGATCCGTTGATGACGATTCTCTCCTTTAGAGTCATGCACCATGCAACGTGCCCACATGTACATGATGATACGGCGCTTTCTGAGCCTTTAGGTACCGTTCCAAACCCGCTAAGCCGTCTCATGATGGTGTCCGTGGCAAGCGTCGTCAATCGACCAGAAGTCGCGCTCAAGATCACCTGTTAAATTGGCGGTCAAAGAAGGCTGGCAAGATACGTGGTGGCTGAGAAGCACCAATTAGATGGAGATAAGAATCCATAATCACAAGCGAGCTGCGCACAGAACTCAAAATTGAGAAGATAAGGTGTAGAGAAAAAAGTTGATGAGAAGGATTAGGGAAAAAAAAATGTTCATTTGGTGTCTCGCGACACTAGGAGAGTTTATCTAGCCTCCTTTTGCCAAAGGTTTAGTGGGAACATTTTGTATGGTCAATTTTGACGACAATTGCCTCCAGAAAAGACAGTGAAGGATATAAGTGCATCGTTGTCATGAGCTGTTGAAACAAGATTTTCGAGCAACAAGGAAGGGGAAAGTGTCATGACGATCCCCGTTTAAGAGAAGGGGAAAAAACCAAAAACAAGGAAACCGCTTCAGTAACCTTCCTTTTGCCATGAAATTAAAACCGTGACGCCAAAAATGCAAACGCCGACGGCACCCACGAAATGCTTCGATGATCAATATTGATGTGTCAGAGAGGGAGCGCCGCTTGAGATGGGTAACCAGAGGACCTGCCTGGTTCCCCGCATTAAGGAGTATTACGTGCGCATAGCGAAGAGTTGGTCCAGCTCTAACCATGGCTGTTTTTTTTTTTCATGTCAGGCGACATTGGGGTGCATGTGCAGACGTTTTGAGAGAGCAACAGGGATCATTCGACATCGGCCTCACAGCGATTGCTCAAGGTCGACGACTTCCTGGAAACCGTCTCGCCATCTCTTTGTCTCTTCCTTGCCTGGTCGTGGGAGAGGCTTCCTGCAATAGCCGCCGTAGCCAAAGTGAGCCTGCAGACCGCACTTCGTGCCGACAATCCCACCTTGGATCGCAGTCCAATCTCCACGGGCAATCACAGCCTGGAGCTTGCGTGCTTCCTTGATGTTTCCGGCCTCGAACAGGTCGAAGAGCTTGACACAAGCCTTGGGTGCGATGTTTGCAAAGCCGCCGATGATGCCAGAGCCGCCGCCGACGAGAGTTTGTAGGAGGAAGTCAGCGGAGCCACCCATGCACATGAAACCACTGCCTGGCTCAGACGCGGTTGCTGCGCGCGTTGCGGCGGCAATTCGATTGAGTTTGCCGGTATTGCCGCATGTCAACTTGCAGCCGACGATGTTTGGGTGCTGGGAGAGCTGAATGATGGTGTCTGAAGACAGATCAATCCCGCCCGCCGCCGGGGGGTAATTGTAGATCAAGATGGGAATTGGTGAAGCGCTGGCGACGTCCTGGAAAAAGTTGATGACTGTCTCCTTGGCGTGCAAGCCGACGTAGTATGACGGAGGGAGGACCAGGGCGTAGTCTCCGCCAGCTTCGTACGCTTCGTGGCACAGTTCGATGGTCTCGCGAGTCGACTGAGCGCCGCAACCAACGATGATTGGCATCCATCCAAAGCCCGCGTCGTTCAAAGCCTTGCGCGTGGTGCTGGTAACCAGATTGCGCTCCTTGTGAGTCATGTGAACGGCTTCACCATTCGATCCCTGGGTGGTAATGCCATGCACGCCAGCCTCGGCCAGTCGTACAGCATGTTCGCCGATGGTCTTGAGATCCAAATCCTCGGTGACGGGGTCAAAAAATGCTGGAGTTGGCACATGAATTCCGGGCAGAAGTGGTCGACGAATGGCTAGATCATTCGAATCTATCGAACTGGTCTCGAAAGCATCGCTGTAGGCGCTGCTGAATCCCGTCGTCCGGCCAGCCATGGCGGTCCTGAAGTGAGAGGTGGTGAAGCTGCTGGCCGGTGACGGCGCGTCACTGTGAGGGGGCATGGTGGTATGGAGGAAGGGCAGGCTAAGTAGCAGCAATGCGAATCGGCATGCACTTTTGAAAGAAAAAGACGACGAAGAAAAGTCGCTCTGAAGGGGGGAATGGCTTGAATGATGATGTCTACGGACACAGCAGTCCGTCCAGAGCGCAGGAGGAATTCTTTAAATAATTGCTACGCCATGACCGCGCGGCGGAAAACCAGCCTTTTGCTCATGCGTGGGGTAGTCACGTTCTGTTCGCCGCCAGCGTAACCCCTGGTCAGACCGCAAGGCCAGACGGAGCGGTTAGACTAGGATGCAAATGGATAGCCCGAGAAAATTGGGACTGTGTGATGGCAGTTGCATGGCGCTGAGCAGCGCGAGCGGATGGACGGCCGTGGATGGATGGGGCGGATGGGATGGATGGACGATCAGGAGGACAGGGGACGTCCGCTGAACATGCCAGGCACAAGCAAGCCGGTCGCTGAACATGCATCATCGAACAGAGCCGGTGGAATCGGGCGTCTTTGTCGGTGATCCCTTTTGGCATGCTCGTGGCCGCCGAGAGGGCGCGCGAGACAGACGCAGCGCCGGCGAAAGGGGGGGGCCAACACCAAGAGGCTGCCGCCTCCACGAGCAGCTCGAAGCACCTTGCAGGCCCGGCCGGATCTGAGGTCGCTCGCGTGGCGACCACAGCAGAGCCGAGCTGCTGTGGTCGTAAGCGACAAATGGCGAGGTCCAGCTGAGGAGCCGGAACACGACCGAAGCGGTGCTCGACCATCCCACGCGGAGAGCGGAGAAGAGGCGCAGCGCCCGCCCAGCGTGCCCACTCGCATGCTGGTTTGTCTGTGTCATTCGCCGGGCCGGTCGTCACCTGAGGACGAGATCTCACGATGCGGTGCAAATGACCAGCCTACGTGGTTCAATGACAGGCGCGCCTCAGCTGCGGAACCCGTTGGCGGTGTGGTCCAGTGTTGACTGCGGCCATCCAGACTACGACAGCAGCGGCAACATTAGCGGCTCCCGGCTACGCGATGGAAATCTCTTCTCTGCTGAATGATATCGCCATGCAAGACGATACTACCCTTCATCATCGCCGCTGCACTCTCCCGGCGTCCATCGTCTCAGCGTGGCACACGTGTGGTCTTCCACGCTCTGTGCAACGTCGTACGAGACGTGAACTGCTTGCTTTCTCATTCCAAAATGCTGCCGTCCGAAAATGGATAACACTTCCTGCGCATGCGCCGAACCAGCAGTGAGATGAAGACGCCTGGCTGCGATCAACCTTTGTGCCCTGCCCTGCCCTGCCCTGCCCTCGCCCTTTTCCCCACAAAGCCTGTAGTTCTATCCAGACACGAAGTCGGGTTTTGCCCCCAGGTGCGTTTTTGGGCGGGCACGCCGTCTGCGCCCAGAGGAAGCGGTCTTCGCAGTCTTTCTCCGTCGCGAGACATCTTCGTGCAAGTACGACACGTTTTGGTTCCGCGCATGGGGCAGGCGGCTCTTTGCTGTAGGCAGTTGCTTTTTCCCAGACGTCAGCTTGTGCCTGAGATCAGAGACGCCATGGCGACCCCAAACTGCCAGGTACGAGAGGAGTCGTCGCCACGGGATTCAAACGAAGGCAGACAGCACCAACGGGCGTGGGGGTTCCCTACCTCCAGTTGCCAATGTCGGTCCGCAACGGCCAGGATCTGGGCGCTGTACGGGCCCCAGGTCGAAAGGCCTTCTCCTCGGCGATCTGCGGTGTAGGGCGCCTTTGGGATGCTTCAGACGGGCGAAACCGCGACAGGCCACTTACGAGAAGCTAAATGCAGCTGTCAAGGAAAGGAAAGAGGTCGTCTGCCCGTCTTCTTCTCCTTCTGCTGCTAAGCGAGGCTATTGGCCCCTCAAGAAGCGCTCCCATTTCGTTGTCTTGGATGGCCCTAGTGGGTGCTAACACCCCGCAGTTTACAAGGGGCCCGACATCTGGAGAACGATCTGCCGTGGTGAGTATGCAAGTCATACTGTCTAGGGCGCCCACCCGAAGAAGATCCCATTGCCAGTCCATTGGGAGGCGCTATCCAAGCCACGGGAGACTCCATGAGTAACACGAAGCTCGTCAATTCGGCACACGCCATGCGCTGCATCCACTGCGACGCGATGGCCCGCCATGTGATGTCGACGTCTTGAAACACGGAAACAGGCAGACATCGCGCTGTGTGGAGATGGTGAAAATTTTTTGTTCCGAACTCCTCAGCCCACCACCACGACCACCGCCCCAGTCGTCCCATGCCCGACAGCCCAAAGTCAACTCGGTGTGCTCAACAGCCTCGTAATAGTTTCCGACGTCGCTTGCTCTACAGGGCAAGCACCTGGTCAGCCTCAAGTAATAGTGCGTGGGGTTCTGACTGCGCACTTGACTCCGTCTGTACCGGCGCAAGTCCGACATGTGGCAAAAAACAGCCCTCCCCGAGTAACTACTTCATGTACTTGCCAGTAATTCGCTGGAAATAAGATCCATGGAACCGTCCGTCCTGCTCTCTGATACGCTAGATCGACGCGTCCAGATCAGGTCCACGAATCAGATCAACGCTCGTTGCACTGTTTTCTGACGTCAAGTCATGAATGAAAATAAAACTGAAGACAAGACATTCTTTAGACGTTGCCATGGAGCAAAGAAAATCATACTCTTTGGGCTGTTGAACTTCGATGTACTTCGTATAGCCTGCGTCCTGCGAAGATCACGCCCGTTGGGGAGACGCACTTGGACCAAAAAGCTTGTTCGCTGATATGACCCCCACGCACCAGCCTTACCCTTCGCCTTCCACCATTCTAGAACTCAACGACAGGGAGGTGAGCACCTTTCTAAGGCCTTCCGTGAGTGCTAAACTCACTTGCAGAGCCTGCCGCCTCGACGACTTGAGCTATGCTCGAGATCTACAGAGCCGAAACCCGGCTCGGGTGGGCTCCCTCTTGTCAAATCGTTCGCTACCCGCTCCATGTGGGAAAAAGGAAGAGCCTGGACACTCCGCAAATCGATGGACCTTCATGCGCATTTGACTCTTGGCGTCTCTAGGTAATCGAACGAACAGGATCTGCGTAAGAGGAAGCGATACCACTCCTAGAAATCTATCCAGGAAAGATCTGTGGCACAACAAGGTTCGCGACAATTGCACACCTCGCTAACGCCTGCTAGCGGGGCGACGATGAAGGAGCTCTTTGTAGGAGGAGAGTTGACCGTCCGGCTGATCCAAATGCTAACCAATCCGGTCTGCGCTAATTGGTGCCGTTATCTGCATGGTGCATCAACATGCTCCGCAGACTGCGCCGCTTGTTCTCCAAATCTACCGTGGGGTTTCACTGCTCTCAAAGAGGGAGCGATTAAAAGTTTATCGGCACATTCGTCCACGAGACTCCACTAGTTCTTAGCTTCATGGTATCTACACCCGACCGTCTTAAGTGTTCTTAGCTGCTCCGATGGTCTAGGCGTCGTCATGGTCCTTCCGACTATGGCTGGAAGTTCCCGGATTTACTCATCCTCGACCTTCATAGGTCCCGCCTTTTGCATATGCGTCGTACGTTGTTTCTTTGCGGGGCAACGCGGGGTCCTGTATTGGCTCTCTTGCCGTGCTCTATATCCTAAGCTGACATTGCAGGAATGCAACCGGAGCAAGGGATCGCGGGCTGTGAACGACACATCAGTCAGATGGTCATTCTCACACGATATGCCAAGAATATGATCGCGGATTGCATCAATTGTGGTCTTATGATCACTCTTTCTCTCCGAAAACAGTTTAGCAGTGGGACGGCCGCATCATGTTCGCTTATACTTGCGGCCTTGTGTTATCGGTTTCGTGTCGGAGCACGTTTGGATAGATGCACTGATGACGACTGCCGATGTAGTCGACTAGGTATCGTGCCTCGAGTCTACGCAAGCACATAATCTGCGGCCGGATTTAGACACTCGGGATTAGGTGCTGTCGTACGTCGCTGGCAAGATGGCCAGATAACTAGGTCCCTTTGCAGTATTGATCCAGTTGAACTGCCGAATTGAGACGGTGGATAAAGTGCAAGAGGAGGCCAATCCAAGCGGTGCATCGTTGATGGTAATCTCAAAGCTCACCAGTTCTACTCAATCTTTACCCTTTGCGCGTCTCATCATCGTTGGATGGCAGCTCCGCTCAGATGTTTATTTCGACCGACGCATGTTAGAGGAAATCCCTAGCAGAATGACGACGGTTACCAATGGTTTCCAATCACGGCTCCGTCCGACAAGTGTGGCCTCCGGTCGCTGGAGTGTGTGCGTTCCACTCCCTTACGCAAAGTTTGTGCTCAATTGAGCCAGATACATCCGCAGTGAGCACGCTGGAAGTCTTTTGACGAATGCAGCGGATGACCGACAGAATTCACCCAAAAACCTACCGCCTTGAACGCTGCAAATTTTCGCAGCTACCGTAGAACAGTCGGGCATCAATTTCGCACGTTGTTTTTATGAAGTCATCCAGTCACGGGCAAAGCCTAACCGCTAGTGCTGCATATGCGTGGCGTCGAGCTTGCTCTTAGAAAGCGAACTAATTCGTCGACTGTGAGCAGGTGTTAGTGACGTGTGTCAATATATGTTTGGATTGTACTTGCTGCAGTCTTCTGTTGGTAGCCAAATGCGATAAACGCAAACGTGAAGAGTTGTGGAAGTGAATATGGCGCCGGAAGATAATGTGCCCAGCCCTCTGACCACTTCACGATTGCCCTTGATCCACGCCGTTGATATTTATTCAGAGCCTGGCGAGTCAAAATGACGCAATAAAATAAACGTGGGGCTCAGGTTGTGAAGTGAAGACGAGCATAGTGATCGCATCTCAATTGGAGCAACCCAGAGTCTGGCAGGCCTTTTGTAACCACAGGGGCGCCATAGTGAAGCGAAATGCTCGACAACGAGATTTCCCTTTCTTTTATAGCTTTGCTGTGGATATCCGAGGAAGCAGGATCCAGATTTCGTGATTGAATACACAACTGAACAGAGCAGATGAAAAAGAGAATGCACTTTGAAGAAAATTTTCCGTCTCATGCACGCGCGTGATCTGAGAAGCTGTGCGCAAGTGGTGTGGCGTCTACAAAATTTTTTTACGTCTTCGAATACTCAGCTGTACAAAGCCGAACGGGATCCTGTAAGACCAACCGGAATGGCTCAGTACTTCTGATAGGAATCGAAGAGAGAGGCGAATGCTTTCGCACGTCGCGACGTGGCAGCTGGAAACAAGGGCCGGCACTCTGCTCAAACCATCGCGAGACGAGACATGGGGGATGAGATTGCGCATTCAACTGACCATATATAAGGACGGTAAAGGAATGAAGGTGGGGTTGAAGAGTTCGCTATGGGTTGTTTGTCAGATATCAGAAGATCACATGCTCGAATACTGGAGTAAATCAACTCCTAGATACTAATTGGTTTCCTTTTCTTTTTTTCTTTCTTTTTTTCTTTTTTTTTGGTGGGAAAAGAGGGGGGCGAGGCGCGGTACGTTCGGTGCAAACAATGCTTTAAAACACCTTGCGTCTGGTAAATTTTGAAGACCTATTGATTACAGGTCGTCGAAAATGGTCAAGCAGAGATGAATGAAAGTCCATGGCGTCCGAATGCCTAAATGGCTAGCATTAGAGTAAAGAGCCCGTCTCAGCACGTCGAATGTAAAGACCAAACGCCTTAGCCCCGTGCAATGCGACTTTTTGTTTCTTTACTGGGCTTGAAGGCAGAAGCCTCCTTACCTTATGAATACAATTCCCCGTCATCAGCCGCCGCATCCCCAAAGCCTCCCGCAGAACCTTTACCCTTAGCCTTTCCTTTCTGCACAAGTTTACCATTCCCGTTGACAAGATGGCTCGTGTCGATCGTGTACTCATCATCACTATCGTCTTGCGAAGCCTGAGAAGCTCCATCCGGAGTTGTGCCGCTCTTATCACCCCTGCTCCTGCTCCGGTGTAGAGAGTTCAACGTCTTCTCACGAAGACCCTTCAATTTTGCTGAGCTGAGCCGCCTGCTCGAATCTTTACTTGCTGGAGTAGCAGACAGTCCTTTGTCATTCGCTGGCCCATAATTGTTCCCGTTGGTAGTTGGTGGACTCGAGGAAATAGCAATCTGCGGTTTTTCGCTTTCTTTTTTGCTGTTGCCATTTCCTTCAAACGTTTTTCTCACCCGCTCATAATGTTTCAATTCTTCAGCACTGACGCTTGGAACAAGTTCTCGTCGGGCATTTTCAAAGTCTTCTTCGGTAACCTCTACGCGAATGTCTTCATCTGTGGCGTGGTGGTCGAAAAACCCAGCGACTGTAACCGGATTGGCTCCTGGTTTCAAATTTTGGTTTAGTGCTGCGACCTTGGAGTCGACGAGACGTGCCTGACGCGTGATAGCTTTGAGCATGGCATCGGAACAAAGCGCGTAAAGATCAGCGCCTGTGTAAGTCAGGGGCAGTTCGGACGCAACTCTCGCGAGTGATAGATCTTTGTGAAGAGTGAACCTAGAAGAACTATTAGAACGTGTAGAATTTATTGTTGTTCCACAAGAACGTACTTTCGCGTTAGGGCCTCGAGAATGGTTCGCTGCTTATCGTGCGAGTCGCTTATGCCCAGATACAACATCTTGTCGAATCGCCCAGGGCGAAGGAGAGCTTGATCGAGCAGATCAGGTCGATTAGTTGCGCCAATGACAAAGACGCCACCGCCACCTTCCTCGCCATCGCTCATCCCATCAAGTTCGGCAAGTAGCTGAGACACAATGCGATCCATGACACCTCCGCTGTCGCCCTGATTGCCACGTTTCGGAGCCACGGAGTCAAGTTCGTCAAAGAACACGACGCAAGGTCTCGCGTCTCTAGCCCTTTGGAACACCCTCCGCACATTGGCTTCGGATTCTCCAATATACATGTTAAGCAATTCAGGTCCCTTGACAGAGAAGAAGTTGAGAGAGAATTCGGTAGCAATTGCTTTCGCCAGCAGTGTTTTGCCCGTGCCCGGTGGTCCGTAGAACAAGATGCCACTTCGTTTTTTCATCCCTTTGGCAAAAAGTTCTGGCCGAGCAAGTGGGAGCTGTATAGTCTCCATCACCGCTTCTTTGACATGAGTGAGGCCACCGACGTCATCCCAGCTAACGTTTGGTATCTTCGGCGCACCAATTGAATCTGCAAAGTTTTTGCGAGCGGCATCGACTGCCGCATCAAAGTCTGCCTTCGTGAGAGCTATTGCGCCAGGCCCACCAGAGACCTCTATGTCGCGTATCGTGACTTTATTGGCTGGTTGGTTAAGGCTGTTGAATGTCTCTACAAGCTTCTCAAGACGATTCTGTTTTGCCACCACGGCGCGATCAATGACATCGATTAGATCGCCCGCGACAAGAGCGGCGGTCTTAACAGCTACTGACGAGAGCTCAACATCAGGTGCAATTCGTATGCCAGCGTTTTGAACAATCCCTCTCAAGATTCCTTCTCTCTCTCCTTCGTCTGGAGCAGTCAATTCGAGCTCGTGTGTGAAAGAGCCACGAATGCCATCTGGAATCTTCTCTACATCTGTCGTCGTTGCAATGATAACTCGTGACTCGGCGAGGATCTCCTTAAATGTCGTTGTCATTCTCTCTGCGTTGAGCGCTTCGATGTGCTTGATCAAGACAACAGTATATTGTGGCCCACAATTCATCGCACGTTCGAATCTCGCACGTAAAACTCCTTCAGTCTTGACATCGCCTCCGCCTCCACCACTCTCGGTAACGATGTCGTACGCATCAATGATGAATGTATGCAATCCCAGATCCTCACACGCTTGTTCTGCGTTGAACGCCTTGCCAATCTGTCGCTGTGTAGACGTAAGAAGGATTGCTGATGGTGGCAAACCAAGATGTATCGCTTGTGGACTCGTTGCAACGGAGATGAGTTCCCTCAGGCGCCGACGGATGGAGGACACGTAAGGCTCCGGCAATGCAGCAATTCCCGGCAGCCGGTCCGTCAAACCAGCCGGCGGAACTGGAATCTTCTTCACGCCCAGATAATACGGCCAAGAGCTGTCCATTATAGACAGAGCTCTCCCTTGTTCACTACCAGCCTGTACCATCTTAACATTTGACGCATCCATGAGCGCCACATTGCCCCAAATGTCTGCCTCGATATCTTCTCCAGCCGAGGAACGTACGACTGAATCGATCTTAAACCAAGCAACTTTAGCTGTAGTCTTGTCAGACTTGATGCCCAAGGCAGTTTTTGTCTTCGATAAGATTTCTTCTTCTGCTCCGTCATCTGAACCCTGAAATACCGATCTACCCAAAGATTCATCGATGGCTATAGCCACAAGATCACCACTTTTCACAATACGTTGCTTGCGCTCGAAGTATAGCTTCAGTGCCGTAAATAAACTTGGCTGCAGCGTTCGGTCTAATGACAGCGGCGTGGCGAGTTTAAGCAAAGTGACCTCCTTCGCATTCGGTGGAACCGCAGCACTCGTAATCTTCTGTCCGCGGTCAAGGCCTAGTGGTGCGATGCGAAGACGTGAGGGCATGCCAAGATTAGCAAGCAATACAGGTGAAGCATACGCAGTTGCCGAAGGAGCAGCGCTATGCCCCATCATCCCAAAGAAGCTCGACGTTCGGCCATGGATCATCTTGTGTGAGGGCATCTTTGCATTCTTCTTCACTGCACTCTCTTGAATACCATAAATTTTGACGGCACGAAAGTCTTGTGTATCCTCTTCGTCCAGATCAAATGAGCCTAGTTTCCATGGCGCAAAGCTATTTGACGGCTGATCAGTAGCTGCCTCAAGGCGAACCCAATCGCCTGAGAAGCACCCTATCTTGACAAGCATCGCCGTGTCTACATAGACACGCGCTTCTTCATCTTCGTCGGCACCGGGCTTTGGATGAAGGAGATCATCTGGGAGCTTTTGCAACAGCCCCTGGGCTCTGAAGATCCTTGGCTGTCCACCCTGTCGCGCCGTGCTGGTTGTAATACCCGAACGAAGAGATCCAGGGGTTTGCACTCCATGTGCAAGTGACAGAAACCCTGGGCGTGGAGTTGCAGACTGGTAAGTCGACATGATACCGGTAGAGGGCGGGAGCATTGGACTCATTAGTGAAAAACCATCTTCGGAATCATCAGATAGATCGTCCTGATCTGTGACTGAAGTCTCCGAGCGCAAGTCATCGGTAGATTCGTCTCCTGCAGGAGAAGTATCTGTAGAGAGGCCTTTCTCTTCTGCTGCAGAGTAGAAGACTTCGTTTGACGTATCCTCATCTTCTTCAGGTATGCCGTTCGTAATAGCTGCCGTAATTGATGCTGGCTTTGGTGCTCTCGCGGTCTTGTGCGATTGTAAAAGTATTATACGAGTGCTTGGAAGCACCAATCCCTGGCTCACTGGCTCGCATGATATGACCTTCGCTGGTGGGGCCGGCGCATGTGTAATCGGATGCGTGGCAAGCGGAAGTTGAAGAACGTCTCCAGTATGTACGAGCTGCGGTGCTTTCAGTGCGTCACGAACCGCCTGTCGCCATTTTCCCTCAAGTGCTTTGATGTCTACAGAAGTCTTTTGTTTTGGAAGCCCTCCCTTCCGAGGTGAAAGTGCGACTTCGTGCCCCTCTGCTCCGAAGCCGCCTCCAAACTTTGCGTGCACCTCTTCAAGTCGTTTGAGCTCTTCTGTATCAAGAGAGACAAATATCGTCTCCAGACCAATCGGTACCACATCGATCACGCGGATTTCAATGGGTGTGTCTCGTCGCGGGGGAATTTTGCCAAGAGAATAACTCTGAAGGTTATGCAAGAAGGACTGCAGCGCGGAAGACGACGCTGGAAATTGAATAGATGAATGTGATCTCGCTGAAATGATGTCAGGGATCGGAGGTGGCCGTACAGGTAAGATGGTCCACGACGTGTTCTGCGCGGAAACCAAGGACGTTGGTTGCCATGGGGCTACGGCAACGTGAAGGATCGGATTTGACGATGGATCATCTGCAATCTTCGTTAACCTTTGCGTCTTGTAGTTGCATATAGTGTTTTGCTCATCCTACCGTTAGATCCTTTGTAGCCGGGGAAAAGGTCCTGCACAAGGTCCTCCGACAAGATGCCTACATCGTCGTTCATCCGTTCATCGAGCAAAAGATGTGCGGAGACGGGGGGGCGGTCGAGGCGTCGCCGCCGTCTACGCCTCTTGCGACTGGCGAGGAGCTGATTGTGAGGCTCCATTGTATCATACAATTGCTTGAAGGACTTGAACTAGTGTAGAGACGATAGTAGGCATTGCGCCATGGGGTCGCAACCAAGGCCGTGATTTACGGCTCACGAGCACCTCGGCAAAGATCCCTTTTGAGACACCAGAAGTCCGCGCATCGCTCAACTGGCGCCCTATATTAATGGTCGGACATCCCCTCAATCATTCTCATTCAACTTCCGAGGACCTTGGGCCGCCTAGACGATACAGTTTTTCCAACGAGTTTCTTTTTTGCCCTCGAGATGAGCCGCCATATGCCTCATCTTCTCCGCAGCAAAGGTGTGCATGTCATGCCGCAAGGAATAACCTATTGCAAGATCCCGCCCACCAGCAAAGAGCCAATGAATCTCGTCGCATTTCCACGGTCATGGATTTGAACCTATGTAAATGCACCTTGATGTCTACGCGGCACACGAAAGCTGGAGCAATTGAATACGCGGCTTCATCTTCTCACTGGCCGGCCACGACGACGACGGCTACTTCGCACACTGGTTGCTCGCCTTCCGTATGATGGTCTTAGGCCACGGGTCTGATCTTTCTCATCTGCTCATCTGGACAGAGCGGCTCGTTATCCTTAGGCTCCCGCTCTGTGCAACCGACTAGTATCCGCTTTCGTCCTCACGTGGGAAAAGCGGCAGCTTGACAAGGATCCGCCTTTCAATCAAGTTCCGATCCATCGTTCGACGTCATCTAACCCGTTGCCATAACTTAAGATTCATACATATCTCTTCCCGATTCGTAGATTAAATAGGTAGGCGGCTGACATGAACATCAATAGCAATCGCACATTCGTCCACGCTTTCGCCTTTACTTTCTCTGCTCTCTTGTGTTGTTGGGTACCCAATACTTCATCTGCCGCTGACCGCGCCATCGCGCCGTATTCGTACAATAAATCCAGAGTTTGTGAACGCAATCGCCAGCCAATGTTTGCTTCAGGCTCCTGGCTATAAACGCTTCTGCCCAAGAAATCACGAGAAGATGGAAAAGTAGATCCAAGTTTCTCCTAAGCAATGACTCGAATCAACGATGCTTCAGATGAGAAAGCAAGAATCGCAGTAGAGTTTAGCAAACAGTCGGAGAGACTCGGCCTAGTCAAACAGAAGCATGCATACGAATCTACTGGAAGACTCGCCGCACAAGCCAATTTCGTAACAGCCCAGGATCCTATCATTCAGACACGAAATGGTGGGCGCTTACCTGCTGTGCCACTTGACGAGGCGCTTAAGCTGAACAGGCTGAGGGATGAGTTGGAGGGTAATAATTCCAATGACAGCAGGCCCGCGGTTTTTGCGACAAGGGAAGGACTAGACGGCACTATTCACGGCATTGAGCCTCCACAGGAGCTGGAAGAACAACAGTCTTCCAAAGCTGATGCTCCTTTGGAAAGGGCCATACCACCGACGAAAACAAACCCTTTGTTTCCCCCTTTGCCCATGTATGGTCCACCATCATTTTTGCGTGATCTACAGGCGCTTTCGTTCCGAGTGTCATCTACGATCTTGTCATTTCTATTCCTCCTCGTGATTGTTCTAGGGGCATTCTTCACCAGTGTACCTGAACTACATAGGCGTATTAGCCTTAAAGCAAAGCTAAGCGATTCAACTAAACCGCGACCATTCTACGATGAAGAGTTAAGGCAAGAGAAATTGAGAAATGAAGCAAAAGAAGCTTGGACGAGACGGAAGGAGAAAGCGGGGGGTGTATCAATGCAAAAAACTAGTGATACGGAGGCCGAGTTCATACCTACAGAAGGAGGTCCGGACCAATTGCTCTGCGATGTAGGGTACTACGCCCGGCGCTGTGGCTTGGATTGCGAGACATTTGACGTTCCGACGGAAGACGGCTTTATCATTGAGCTATGGCACATATATAATCCGCGAACAGACAAGCCACGCCAGACGGACGGCGACGCAATTCGATGCCCGGATCATTTTCAGCATGATTCTGTCAAGTCTGCCGTGAACGAGAAGATGCGCAAATATCCAGTCCTCTTCATTCACGGCTTGCTGCAATCATCAGGGGCATTTTGCTGTTCGGATGACAACTCTCTCGCCTTTTATCTTGCGAAATCTGGTTTGGACGTCTGGCTAGGAAACAACAGATGTGGCTTCAAGCCTCGTCACACAATGCTCGATGACAAAGACCCCCGAATGTGGTGTTGGAACATTCGACAAATGGGGGTTCTAGATCTACCTGCGCTCATGTCGCGTGTCCTACAAGAAACCAGCTTCGAAAAGTTGGCGCTTATCGCTCACTCCCAAGGTACAACACAGACCCTCGTCGCCTTGGCCAAAGAGCAGCGCCCCGATATTGGCGACAAAATCAGTGTCGTGTGCCTTCTCGCTCCTGCGGCGTATGCTGGTCCTCTGGTTGACAAGATTTATCTCAAGTTCATGCGTGTCATCTCTCATGGCATGTTCCGCGCAATCTTTGGTATCCACGCATTTATTCCGTTCATGATGACAATGCACCGCCTGCTACCACCTCGATTCTACGGCTTCATGGGTTACCGTGTGTTCAGTTTCCTGTTTAATTGGACAGACGAGCGGTGGGACCGTGCTCTTAGAAATCGCTATTTTCAATTTGCTCCTGTATATGTAAGCGCGGAGAGTATGCGCTGGTGGCTGGGCAGAGAATGCTTTGCCAGGCAAAGATGTATCCTGAGCACAAAAAGTGAGCTGGATATTGAAGACAGGGAAGACTCTCAGAACTTTTCCCCGCACACGGCTCATGATGAGGATTCTCCTCAGCGGTCACCACATCGGGCTGAAGATCGAGGGCGTTATGCATGGTATGATGAGCACGTTCCACCATTTGCCATATGGGTTGCTGGGAATGATGATCTCGTCGATGGAAGGCGTCTGCTGCGTCGGTTCAAGCAGGGGAGAGAACCACATGTGAGGGTTGTGCACGAGAGGATTATTCCTGAGTATGAGCATTTAGATGTGATCTGGGCAATGGACGTCATCGAGCAGGTAGGATCGGATTTATTAGCAACTATATGGAAGACGGTACCGCAGAAGTATAGAGACCAAGTCCGTGTGCCTAAAGGTTGTGAAGGACTTCAGTTTCTGGTGGACTTGTGAGTCGGATACTCAACGATGTCTCGGTTTGAGATGTACGAACATTTCCTTGTACAATTAAATTTGATAATTCAAAACCGTAGCTTGAAGAAAATAGGCTGCAGGAACGTATTTTAAAGCCCAACATTCTCAACGATTGATCATTCAATTCACTGAATTACTTTAAACCCTGTACGCGGATACAGCGAGGAGGCAGTTGAGTCCGTAATGGAACGGCCGTTAAAATGGCATCAGCGACACTGCCTGTTCAACCAGAAGCTCCATACGACGGATTTACCAAACTCTGGAGCACGTAATTGTAGTCATTCCTTTTTCCAAATCTTTACACATCCAAGATGCTGTTCTTCAGGTGCGTCCATCTACCGGAATCTCAAACTCGACACGTCAGTTGGCGCAACGGTCACTGGCCGAGTGGGTTATGAACTCAAATATGACGAAACTGCTACTGACATGTTGTGTGGTGTTACAGTTTTTTCAAAACCCTCGTCGATACAGAGGTCACGGTGGAGCTTAAGAACGACATCGCAATCCGCGGCACGTTGAAGAGTGTGGACCAATTCCTGAACATCAAGTTGGAGAATGTACAGGCCATGGAGGAGTTGAAATACCCGCATTTGGTGCGTTCCAAATACGCCATTCGACAATCCTGGACGAGCCCCCTTGAGTCACAATGCTAACTCGGGTACACTTTAGTCGGCTGTGAAAAGCGTATTTATCAGAGGTAGTGTGGTACGTTACGTGCATCTGCCAGCTGCAGCAGTGGACACTACGTTGTTGGAGGATGCGACGAGAAGAGGCATGTCTTGTCAATTACCATTCAAGGACACACACGGGCTAACACGGCACGGCAGAAGCGGCACAGGCGTCTGCAAAGGCAAAACAAGGCTGAGCGATTGTGCACAAGAGAGGCAAGAACATGAATCTCGATGGAATGGGAAAAGTACAAGCGCTGCTTGTGGGGTGGCAATAGTACGCGTAGCACAGTGCTCAATAGCAGTTATGTGAAGAGCTGGGTACATCAGTCTCCGGAGGCAGGGCTAGCAGCGGAGCAGAGACTTCTGAGATCCAGTTGCGATTGGAATGTATCGCAAGGGCATACAGAGCCTCCAAGCCCGAGTGCTAGGCGCGGAGCAGTGATAGCAGGGCTCAGCCCGATACCACAAGACTCTCTTCAGTTCCTGTTCCCTTCCCACTTTTCTGATCCTGTATAAGCGGCTATACTCACACCGCCTCGTCTTCGTAGCGGTCCAAGCGAAATGCCGGGATAGGCTTGATTCATCTTTCGAACGCACTGTTTCCAATGCAAAGGAAATGCTTTGCCAATGTCTCGATTCTATCCCGTCCTCGTGCGATCTCAGCCCTCATCTCGGCCTGACAAACTGGTCCAAGCTCCAGTCAAATTTGTGACATCGGATTGGCATCTCCAATGTATAGAATGGATTCTTCATGACAAAGTCCGCGTACAGCTCGTAGCATTTCTTCATGATTGTGTCCACGTTCGCCTGCGCCGGCTCTGTGAACAGAAGGAATTTCGTCCCCGTCGTCGTTTGGAAGCAGCTTAGCCTAAAATGACTGGTCTCCAAGACCTCGAGGCCTGAAGGGCGCGAGGGGAAGTTCTTAAGGCCAGGGTACGATGGAGGCGCTGGTGGGGGAATCGAGGACGGCGGTGCAATATTCCGAGTTATGGCGTGCACGCCGTGGAAGGTACCTGCGAGGATGAGGAGGTCGTTGCTATTCAGCTTTTGGAGTCCGGGATGGAAGTCGCGATTATAGATTAGACCGCCCGCTTTGTTGATTATGAGCAGCGCAAAGACGACCCTTAATGAGGATTTAGAACCGAATTTAGTTCTTCTGTGGTTATCTTAACTCACATTTTTGAAGTTTCGCTATCTATCTTTCATGGTTGTACATTTGAGCAATTGAAACCGGAACTGGGGAATGGTGACAGCTAAATGTATAATGGACTCAGATACGATTTACAGAGAACTCATACTTTCAAAACTAATGTACTCGTCGAGGACAGACTTGTTCCTTTTATTTGCGAGCTAGACAGTTATAAAGCTTGTGCAGCGACATTAAATTATTGACGTTAACTTAAGTGCCTTTTGTCTTCTTTATTTCAGGGAGAGTTGGAAGTCGACAGACACATTTGGAATTACATTGAACCCCAAGTCAAGCACATACACACAGAAGTCAAGATCGAGGAGGATTTCACTTTAGGATTTTATGTCTAATCTATAGAAATTGAACGACTCGCCTTCCTAGGGCAGTCCCAGTAACAGCGCTCACATCGGCAGCCGTTGACAAGAACGCGGCCATGAGCACAGCTCGGAAGGCCAAAATAGTAGACACTAGATCGGTTTCCTGCACTACTTTCCAAGCTTGCTCCATACTCGGACAGATTATCTTGTCCAAGGGGTTCGTCGACAGATCTGGTGGATTCTTCATTGCATTTTTAAGGTGCGTCTTGCACTCCAGCACTGCTTCTTCTCTAATGTGCCGCAACAGCCAATGATCGATCTGGCATACTTGTCAACAAACGTCATGTGAATCAGAATTTGCGACGTAGTAAGAAACGCACCTCATGCAATTGATGGCGTATAGCACCTCTGACATGGCTCTTTGAGGGGAATGGCAAACTGTCAAATTTGAACTTATCCTCCAAAAAATCTAGACAACATCGCAGGGCAAGGGGCAGAAGGACGAGGAATGGTCTGCTCGTATCCACGATTGCCTTCGATGTTGACTCTTCATCGAGATCAAAAATTACGTTTTCAGCAGCTTGAAGTTCACTCTGGTTATCCGATAACTTCAACCCGACCAGATATTCCAATTGATGGAGTATACGCCCTGTGTCATACGGGGTGTTCGGGATATAGAGAGTAACACCATCTAACATCGCACGGGAATAGTCCACATTGTAACTAAGTCGGCTGTACAAGCTCCGGTCCGCCCAATATGTGGTCTTTTCGTAGCAGCTGCCACTGATTCTTGGCATGCCACTCGCACCCGCCTCGCGATCGCTCGAGTACATGGTGGTGATTTCAGGGAAATCAGCCGAGAAGACCGGCCGTGGTGCGGAATGGTGCCAGTAGAGTGTTCCTCCATGCTTCGAAACCGCTTGTTGAATTGTGCAAATGATTAAACGCAGGTCAAGATGCTTCCATGGCCTCGCGTTTGAGCAGATCTGCTTCGCTACGGCTGCGGCATTCCACGAAGAGAATGATGTTGCTCGCAACCAGGGCGCAAATTCCGTGTATAGAATGATCATAGTAGAGTGCACCCCCGGGAATCCTGGTGTCAAGAATGGCTGATGGCTTGTTAGAAGTCCTATTGACTCGTGAGTATTATAGAGTTGGCGGTCGCTGCTTCATGGTCAGAAAGTCGGATTGAAAGTAGGACCAAAAATTGGGCCGAACATAGATTGCCTTACAATTCGATTCGGTATGTGTCCATCATCGGGAAGTCCTGAGATACTGCTACCCTGCCCAAGAGTGCATGCTCTCGGAAAGAGACCTGCATGCTGTTCCCACGAGCCTCAAGCAAGTCTCCGTCCGCGGAGATCTCATCACAGCCCACAAAAGCTGCCAACGTTATGATGCTTCGGATAGTACCAAAGGCGACAGCTGCAGGGACATCACTGGGTAGATAGTCCGTTTCGCACAGTAATGCTTTAGGCAGTACTTTTAAAAACTCGATCTTTCCTCCATAATTCAAAGCTCGGGTAGTGAAGTAGGTCTTACTGTCAGGCAGACGTGCGAGCATGTTTGCCCAAGAAGCAGCATAATTATTGAACGTGTAACGCTTGAGTGCTACTGGGCGCTGCTCTGTTTCTTTACTCTTCGTGCTTCCAAAAAGTGTTACCCACGCATTGCTTGTCTTCTCTTTCCGTAATCTAGATTCCTGTTCAGCATTTAGCAGCCTCGCTACTACTGCATGGCTGCCTTTGAGTCTCTTGCCAATCTCTTCATCTATTGTTCGTGGAAGGTCGCCAGATTCGTCGAAGATCTGGATGAACGGAACTAACGTCGTTGTTCTTACGCGCAACTCTTGCCTGTCCATCCTCGACTGACTGTACCGTGACCACTCGCCTATCGCTCTTTCCGAGGCCTTTATCCTGCCTGGGCCGGCTGCAAGTGCACCTTGAAAAACAGTCATGATGGCAACTATGAGGGCGAGTGCGCCAATGGCAGCAGTGAAGCCAAAGTTGAGCGGATTCCAGTCATAGGTACTGTTGCCAATCTCAGTCCTGTCGCACGCAGCCAGATGCGCTATCGAGCCTTACTTATTCTGATTATAGATCTGGCGCAACAGACATGCTGTTGAATTATCCGCACATACGTCCATAGCACGTTTCAGTTCTGCATCAGGAAAACACAGAGAGCGTGCTTCTCCAGTTAGTCACCAGGGTTTTCTTGTCGTGAAGGCCTTCAAAAGAACCAGCCTGAAACTTCAAGACGTTTGTTTCTCCTGATTCAACGAGAGTAGCATTAAAGACACGCGCTAATGGCACTTCTAAATTTGTATTCCAAAGTCCGATGGCTGGCCTTGTCCTGCAAATCTGTTGCGCATCCGTGGAGGTTCCACGCTGCCACAGTGAGAAAAGAGTCCTGGACAGAGTATCGTACCATGTTAGCAGACTCAGGGAACCAGATAGCAAGCTACGAAATGCAGCCTCATTGACCGCCGTTGCCACAGGAAAACATCACAGCTTTTGGACCCCATTCGCGAGATGCTGCTCGCGGCAGTGGTCGTTGCAGGGGCAGTTTTGGAGCATGACTCAGCAGCCACGCTGAGCTGTGAGCGCTCCGGCCGTGACCTTGCACAAGCGCATCGTTCGAGATGTTGCACATAGCAGAGACATGGTGCGTGAATCCAAAGCTCAAAACCACTTTGTGTGGTCTGAAGGGAGCCCACCAACGTGACGGGCAACGCAAGCTGTGGTTTCATCCCGCTTCAGAGCGGAGCGTTTGTTCGACACGCCAACGGGACGACCGGTTCATCCTAGCGTGTGTGGTTCGTCATGACGTCTTTGGGCGATCACAGCGAACGAGGGATCCGTTCTACGGGACGGGTGGATCGGTCATTGGCCGCCATCGATACGGAATTCGCGTTGACGGTGTACGACGAAGCCTCTGTGTCCGGCCGTTACGCTGATGGTGGTGGGCGCAACGGCCAGCTGGTTGGAGATCCAAGGGCTGGGGCCCCCCCCCTCTTTCCTGGGCGCCCCCCTCTGGCAGCCCTGCTAATCGATTGTGGCTTGGCCACGCGCGTGGGGCCGCCTGCTTCTTTCTCAGTGGAACTGCTGCTGACCGGGCGAGCTTTCCTAAGCTTCCTGCACTTCATACTGGTGCAAGCTCGCGATTCTGCCTACTACTGGAAGGCTGCCACTTACCCACGGTCACGCCCAAAGCATGTAGACCGTAAAGCCAGCCTTCTTCACTTTTAAAGTACACAGCAATAGGAACACTCTCCTCCATCTCATCCGAAATCTCTACTTTGCATGTAGCGTCATTCGCTGCCCCGCACTCTACTCGCTTCTCCGTTGCGCTCAACCGATTTCAGCATGGCAGACCAATCCGTGATACGAATACACCGCGAGCTCCGCGAGTTCGAGCGTACCGGTGACCTTTCTATTGCCGCTGCTTTCAAGGACGAGGATATCCGCAAAGTACGAGCCCTCATCGTCGGACCGCCCGAAACACCGTACGAATTTGGCTTCTTCGAGTTCAATGTCAAGTTTGGCAAGGAATACCCCACGAAGGCACCGTCCGTCACGGCCATAACTACGAATCTGGGCAGTACCCGCTTTAACCCCAACATATACGCATGCGGTAAAGTGTGCTTGTCCATCCTGGGTACATGGCGGGGAGAACGAGGGGAAGAGTGGTCGTCTGCACAAGGCCTGGAGTCGATCCTGATATCCATCCAGAGCCTCATGTCTAGCAATCCGTACGAGAATGAGCCGGGATTTGAACAGATCAAGTCAGACGAGGACAAGGAAAACGCTCTCTCGTACATCGACAAGATACGGCACGAATCGCTTCGGATATCGGTCATCGAACGGATGGAGAACTACATGGGCATCAATCGTAAAGAGGCGAGACTAGTCTCGTCACCGAACACGTCTAGCAACGCGAGCTCATCTGAAGAGTGGGATGCCCTCTGCGGCGCGGATGCTCCGTGGGAACCCCACAGGGACAAGTGCAAGCTGCGCTTCTTGTGGTACTACGATTCGTACCACTTGACAATGAACGAGGAGGCGAAAAAGCATAAAGACGGTGAAAAATTTGAGAAGATGCCTTTCGAAGCACCAGGAAACACCATGGACGGGCAGTTTCAGTACACAGATCTAAAAAAACGACTGACAGCGATCAAGGAGGCCATGGATGCGGAGATCGAACAGTGGGCGCGCGATGGTTTGAATGCTGTGGCTCGGGATTTGAGCATCGCAAACAATCTCAAGCGGCAACACGAACAAACCGTGGCCTTGTTCAAGACGAACGATGTACCAGTAGACGTGGAGCTGATGGACGACAATCCTTTCGTTTGGATGTTGACGCTGGTTGGACGCCCAAACACACCTCTTGACGGCGGCATTTTCAAGATAAAAATGTGCATCAGCCCGCAGTTCCCAGCAGAGCTTCCACGCGTCCGGGTTGAGACGCCGATTTTCCACCATAGGGTCTCGTCGAACGGACTTTTATGCTACCTCATCAAGAACTCGGACTATTCCAATCTCACAGCGCATGTCCAAGCCATCATATCAGCTTTAGAGGATGATAATCCAGCCTACGACCCCAGAACACGGGTCAACCCGGAGGCGACACGCTTGATGTGGGGATCAGCCGACGATAAGAAGATCTACAACAGGCGATTGAGACGGACTGTGCAAGACAGCTGGGAGTATGATGTCCTTCACGGCAATTGTATTGGATCCGGTGCTAACATCGAAACAGATACTGTTGAGACTTTGCTCTCCTGATCCCCAGTTGGGCTACTTGTTTCTTGACTCTCATTGCTAAAGAACTTTGATCGCTACAAGGTGAACTGATCACGGATTGCAGACGAAGCCTCCAGCGTAGATCTCTATATTTTCGACAAGGCCATAGAGAAATTCAAGAATTGGCTGGGCAAGGTGTTTGGCTCCAAGGATTTCAAAGATACGCGTCCTGAATTCAGAAACCAACCTGAATAACCAGACAAGGGCCTGCGCTGACAACTCATCTGCAAATGACAGTTCGATGATGACTTTCTCAAAACCATTTCGATACCCTACGCCAATGCAGATGTTTTTCTGCCTTGATTGTTCTACTTCCCAGTGTTCTTCTGCTTCTTCTTTTCAGACTGCATGGCGAATGTTCTCGGTTCTTTTATGACTTCTCTCGGGCATTTTCATTGGCGCATACAAACTCACGCACGTTGACATCCCCAGCAGGCGGGGAGAACCGCAGATTGCTTCTTTCTACGGCGAATTAGTTAAGACATGGGCATCAGCTTCAAGGCTTAGTACGACGATTATGACGAACGGTTCAGCAAATCTCACAAGGCACGGCGCTTGATTGGAAGCCGTTTGTTTTCATTTTTATTGTGTTTCTTAATTCGAAAATCATGGGAGGTTAGTGGACATGGCGTCTTTGAGGGCGCATTGCAAAGTCCACATTGCATACGTAGTCTGGAGATCATCGAACGACATACATTATCTACCAGTATTTCTGTCATGAATTTCTCTCGTGACCATCTTAATTAGTTATTTCGGCATTACAAGTGAATGTTGAGTTGTAATTTCGCCCGATTGATTCATTCTTCGTCATTACCACCCTCTCTACAAAGAACTCCACAAAACAAGGCTATTCGGAACGCCGAATTTGTGTTTGCAACGAGTCAAGTCTGGATGGGTGTCTGAATTATGAGAAGCACGTGACAGATAATCCGCGTCTTCACCAGCCGTGTTGAGATGTATTTGAAGAATATCAAAACAGCCATGTGAAAGAATTCTGGACTTGGAATGTCGCAGAACACCTACCTTAAGTCAGCAAAGCCACCATGAATACAACTTTGTTTGAACGAAGGGGCCGCACCTTATGTCGGATGAGCTGGCTCCGATCAAAATCTCGAAGTCCCCTTGCTCGGCGACCCAGGAGCCCAAATTCACGTTGTAGTATCCAACCGAATACTTATCGACTTTTAAGTCCACTACATGCGTCTGGCCAGGCTGAACGAGGACTTTCGCAAAGGCACGTAGTTCTTTCTTGGGCCGCGGTACAGCGGACTGGCGAGCGCGGATATATGCTTGGACGACCTCGTGACCAGCTAGCTTGCCGACGTTAGTTATCGGAACCGTTACGGTGATGGGGCATTCTTGAATCAGCACCGTGGAGCTGAGTTGGGGCTTCGAGTACAGAAATTTGGTGTAGGACAGACCGTGGCCGAACGGAAAGAGCGGAGCCTTGTTATGCTGCTCGTAGTGTCGATAGCCAACGAAGATGCCTTCTTCATAGACGACGCTAAGGTTTTGGCCCGGCCAGTTGCCGTACGAAGGGTTGTCTTCAAGTCGTTTTGGAAAGGTTGTTGGAAGCTTGCCGCTAGGGTTGCATTTCCCGAAAAGTACATCTGCCAGCGCGTTTCCTGCTTCCTGGCCCTGATACCAGGCCTGCACTATTGCAGGCACTTTGTCAGCCCATGGCATGGCTACCGGAGATCCTGACTGGTTGACAACGACGGTCCTGGGGTTGCTGCTAAGAACAGCCTCGATGAGACGATCTTGACTTCCGTCTCTGGGCAGTTCCATGTCCTTTCGGTCGTAGCCTTCCGATTCCCACTCGTTGTCAAGCCCGACGACCAAAATGGCAATGTCCGCTTCTGAGGCGAGCTTTACAGCTTCAGCTACAAGATCCGTTTTTTGCTCTTCTTGGTAGCCAATACGGCAACCACCATATCCATGTGTACCAACCGTATCGATTTTACTTCGTGGTCGTGAGGCGGATGTGCTTTCGACAAGGAGTTCAACAGGGACGTCAGCTTTAAGATATATAGACCTGCGAACCTCCATCGAGTTGCCAAACATGGCCTCTCCTTCTTCTGTCCATTCCCAGTTGTCGATGAACAGCTCGCCGTTGAGCAATAGTCGCCCAGGACCAACGGACGAGAAACTAAGTGTATGTGTTCCGGTTGTCTTTGGTAGAAGAGATGTCCTGACTCTGAAGGAGTAGTCGGGAAGAACTTGCTTCGGTGCTGAATCCCAAAGGTACAGATCGGTGCTCGCCTTATACTGAACGCTTACTGGATCGTTTTGAAACTCATCACCTTTGTAATATTCTATTACGACTCCAGTCTTGCCAGATGATGCTCTGCAATAACCTGATGCTAGAGGAAGCCATTTTGCAGTGTCACAGCCTTTGGCATGTAGTACCTGAGCGTCAGTGGCAGCGATGATACCGTCAAGGGGTGAAGTTAAATAATATGGGTTCACCTTTGCACTTCCTCCTCCACCTGCTACACATCTCTCCGCATTTGGACCGATGACGGCAATCTTCCGAGCGTTCGCTATAGGCAGAATATTTTCATCGTTCTTGAGCAGGACGATGCCCTCCACTGCGGCTTTTTTGATGGCTCTACTCAGAGCCTTATTGTCATCCGGCAGCTCTCCTGGATAGTGAAAATTCTCAAGCCCCTTCGTTCGCTGAATGAGCCGAAGCACCCTTTTCACCGCATTTTGGACATCTTCCAGTGATACGTGTCCACTTTGTACTGCCTGAATTAGACGTTCGCCTCTCCATTTTGCAGGGCCCGGCATTTCAATATCACATCCGGCACGGACTGATTCCACGCCGGTTGCCTCCGTAAGCGCAGTCCAGTCAGATATCACGGCTCCATCGAAACCCCACTCTCCTCTGAGAATTGTCTTTAGTGTAAACTCATTGACGTCGGCATGGATGCCATTAATGAGGTTGTATGAGCTCATCAAAGCCCAAGGACGACTTTCTCGGATTGCAATCTCGAACGGTTTCAGATAGATCTCGCGCAACGTCCGTTCGTCAACTACTGAGTTTATTGTCATTCGGTGAGTTTCCTGCTCATTCGCAACAAAATGCTTGATTGTCGCTGCAACGCCCTCACTTTGAACTCCGCGAATATAGGCAGCGGCGATCTTTCCTGTCAAAAATGGGTCTTCCGAAAACGATTCGAAGTTACGTCCACCCAGAGGAGAACGGTGTATGTTCACAGTTGGAGCAAGCAGAACATTTGCACCTCGTGCTCTGGTTTCTTTCCCTAGATGTACGCCAATGTTTTGGATGAGCTCCGTGTTCCACGTTGCCGCTAAGGAGATACCACAGGTGAAGAGTGCAGCCTGTGCCCATATGAGCTGATACATTGGTTTTGGAACACATTCAGCTTACAGGTGTCCCGTTATCAAAGTATTCACCCCGGGCCCCGCTTGGCCCGTCCGTCATTTTGATCGATGGGATTCCATGATGGGGTATCTCAGCAGTCCGCCAGAAGTCGGAACCAGAGAGCAGAAGAACCTAGGCATAAAAGTCAATCGAGGAGATATAACAAAACAGATTGATCTTGGTACTTGTTCGCGCAGGCTCAGTCTCCGCGCTAATTGATTAATATCATCTCGGGTCTCTCGGGGTTCAGCATTAGGCAAGATGTCCATATTGTACGATATGCGAAATCCCAATGCTCAGCAATTCAAGGCAGGAATATTTGGCAGAACAAAATTTAGTACATCGTGGGACATCAAGTTTGCAGCTGTCGTATCTGTAGACAAGATTGCATCTATACTTTCTGGAACATATCACAAGCCATTGTCACGCATGATGTGCCTCATCACACAGCTGTCAACGTCAGCGACACATACTCATATTCTTTGACTTTTCGGTTGAGTACAGCCGAGCCGTCAAGCCGCCAAAAACCAATTTGATGCCCGGTTTTGCGATGCTCTTATCTGAATTAGGCACAAGGAATCCTCAATAGCCGCAATAAGCAACCAGAAATTCTTCCGCCCAGAGGTGGAGCAGAAGGCCGCCCCATGCAATACCTGGAGTCCCAGCATTGCTTTGCGATCACGGGGCCTTTGTCAATCCGAATGTGGCATCAGACCTGCGTGAATGTTCGTGCAAAGGATCCTCCAGATTGAATCCAGCAAGACATGCCACAACGTGCTTTTCAAACGACAAGGCCTGAAAGCAGGACGCCACCCTCTCATTAGCTTCGTGACTCATCACAGCCTTGTCCCAACGTCTTTATGCGGGTGTATGCAATCCTTCCGTTTCTCGTGGTTGGGGTCATCGAAAGCAGCAACATGGATGATTTTTTTTTCTGGCCTGGACTTGGGTTGCCTTCAAGCGACCAGGTGCTCTATCCGCTCCGGTGGAAACCAATAAGGGCCGGATCCGTGGCGCCACGAAGGTTTTTGGAGTGATTTTTGCACCATAAAGAGCTACGAGTCCGAGCAAGCGACGTCAATATATTTGGACAGCCAGCCAGCCATCGTGAAGACGGAGGACGTGCGGTCGGGATGTGCTGGACGGCGTGAGGAATGCGAAGCATGAGCTTCTTTAGCCGAAACACGAGCCTAACTTGATGTACGGTAATGGTCCAAACACCTACGCTCATCGGACGCCGGGTAGAATAGAACACTTTGACAAGCTTTGCATGCGATCAGATCACGACCATCCCAAGCCGAAGTCCGCAACGTCGACAAAATGTTCTCACCTGAATTCTGTCAACGATACAAGGCTGCTCGCGTGGCAGCCTCGTTCATCACCACTGGCCTACCGACATGCAGTGCGGCCTTCAGCTGCCAAGGGCAGCATGCACATACCGTGCCCTTCTGCCCAGGATAAATGCACAACATGTTGCAGGACCTGCATTCTTATGACTCGCATCAAAAATACGTGTGTTTCTTCGCCAAGGCACGAATCGGACGTATTCCTCCTAAATCCACCAAGCCAATGACCAGGTGTTCGGGGACGGTTCTGGTTCCGACTGAGCTTCACCCCTGACGTGTAGCCTCTTCCCTGACACTTCATGACATTGCAGGACAAACCCGTGCAATGATAAGAAGGAGCCTCGTGATCACCGCGAACGCCAGAGCAACATTCATATTCCTTTCCCGTCTCATTAACATGATAGGCTAAGCACAGCGTATTTGTGATTCGTCTATGCACCGTACGAGCTTTTCTCATCAGAAGGCAGATACAATTTTAATGAAGAAAAAAAAATTCCATCTCCCGTTTGAAATCCCGATTGTAAGGCGTGAAACTCGGCCCGAGTCATTCACCAGTCATCATCATCATTTCTACGTGAGTGCATGGCAGCCTGCCGCTGTCTCAACGCTTCAGCCAAGCTACCGGCAACACTTCCACCACTGTCTCTCGCACTAGCTCCCGAACCAGAATAACCACTATCTCTCTCAGCTGCTCCAGCTGGCATGGGGACAGGCTTCTTCCCGGCAGGCCGCTTAGTTGGAGGGACGGGAGGTCCGGGCTTACCCTTAGCCGCAGCCGATGCTCCATTGACGCCATTAGCTGGCGGTACGGGGCGTGGTGCTACAGGGGGAGGTGGAGGGGGTGCTTGCTGGACAATCTCTTCCATATACGCTGATGGAACCCAGCCCGATGCAGATCCGTCTTTGCGTTTAGCCAACCACCATCCTGTGCACTGTGTGAGCTACTGGCATTAATTTGAGTGTTATAGAGTGGAGCCTACCGTTGTCTTCTTTCTGTACGATGATAACGACGTCGTCTTTCTTGACACTCATCTCACCACTTGTTTGTCCAACAAAGTCATACAACGCCTTGCAAGTAGGTTCCCTAGACACGGGCGGGGCAGGCGGAGGTGGGGGTGGAGGCGCTCTTGTAGATGACGCGGCAGATGCTGCAGACGTGTGGCTGTCGAAACCGTTTGCAACTGCAGCAGCTGGTTGAGGCTGAGGTACGACCCTGTTTTGAGCAGCCGGCATTGGCTTGGCCGACTGATTTCTTGCTGCAGCTGAGAGCTTGCCCATTTGACCCCCAGGTCCGCCAGCCTTGAGAAGTTTGCCCTTCGTGATTGCCCTAGCAGGTTTTTGCCGACCTTTCGGGGTTGGCTTGGACACAGAGTTTGGTGGCTCCCCTGGGCCTGTGTGAATAGTACCACTCTTGTAAACGTCGTCACGCGGTACATTAGGGTCCTTCTGAGCCTTGACTACTGCCATCTTGCCAGGCTTCTTCGCGTATTCGATCTGGGGTCCAATTCTGAGGTCAAGCGACCCGCGATTGGCGTTCTTTAAATGAGTAAAGAACTCAGTCTTAAACACGCAATTGACCAATGGATCTGGCTCTTGCGCTGACCCGATGCCAATGGAGAACCAGTCGTCTTTTAGATTTGAGCATCCAATGAACTTGATGGCACCCAGATTGATTGTTCGTTCAGTTACGATCTGAACCTGACGTTGCACCAGAACCTGCTTGACAAGGTAGATATTCTTGTTGGTAAGGATCAGTATACGAGCTTCTGGCTTTGACGATCGTCCCAATTTGGAAACGAGCACTTCGGCTCGGCAAGAGAAAAGCACAGGCTCGCCTCTAGGAAGATTGATGGCGCTGGCAACGATCTCTCCGAACCCTCCAGCGTTCGCGATGCCGAGATAGTCGCCCAAAAACCGCCTGTAGCCTACCAAGCTGTACCTTCTTCGTTCTTTTCGGCCAGCCAGGATTTGATGTCCTTGGTCACGCAATTGGATGAACTCAAAGCCACCATTGATGCGTCGCCACCAGCGTTGAATACGCGTCGCACATTCGGCTCTATAACGAAGATAGTTTCTCCATGCACGTTGGATTCTGATAGCCATATTATGCCAATAGCGATCACGCATAGTTTCGAGGGCAAACAATGTCTCTGGAGTCTTGATGAAAGCTTTAGTCACACCCATCTGGTACTCTTCCACTGGAATATTCGTGTCCTTGAGAATTTGCTTTGTTCCTGATAGATAATCGCCAGTCCAAGTATAATCGCCAGCATATGAGGTCTTGGGAGATAATAGGTAAAAGCGTTCCACAAATTTTTCGAAGGTTTGGCGATAAGCGAAGCCTGCACGTCGAATACGGACGTTCTCTTGGAGACCGAGGTACTTGATTTGATGCAGTACATTGGCAGAGTTGTATTCAGACGGTGACTTGTTCTCGTTCGGCTTGATGGTCCGGATATACGACGGGGAACATTTCATGAGCGTGGCGACTAGATCATTTGCTGACACTTTGATCTTATCTCCAGCAGTTGGTGGCCGTCTCTTGCTATCCGTGTCGACTGGTGCTGGAAATAGGGTGTGGAGGAATTGATTGCTTGTCTGACTAACAAGAACGAGAAGGTCCTTTAGTAACTGGTCTTTGTTCTTGTCTGTCATTCCTTCAACAGCGTATGCAACATCGCCAGCGTAGTGCTTGATGATAAATTGACCTTGCCTTGGCTGGAAGTATTGGTTTGAAGCCAGAGCATTCAATCTTTGCACAAATGTCTGGTCTGCAGCCGCGGGGTCCGCATGAGCTGTAGCGCATGCATCGTTAAGCGCCGCGAAAACTCCGGGAGGCCGCTTCTCTTCGATTAACTCGCAAACGACCTTGTTGTCGAAGTACTTTATTGGCGTCCATTTAATTTGTTCTCTTGCGTACTCTTCCTGCTCAGTCTTCAATGTTAATTGAATGAAGATCTGCTGCAACTTCTCGTTCACGTAATTGATACACAACTGTTCAAAGCTGTTCCTCTCAAAAATCTCGAAGCCGTAAATATCTAGGATGCCAATCGAATAAGCCGACGCACCACGAGCCCTCAACGACTCGTTGACACGTTGTACGATCCAATCGAACAAGTTGAAGTAGATAGCTTTCGCAAGAGCATCTCGAACTGCACCTGCTTGTGGGATGTTGAGCGGAACGTCATAAACCGAGCCTCTCCTACCACCTCTGCTTGTCTCCAATATTCTCTGTGTCAGAGCTTTGTTGACATGTGCGGAGTCCACTTCCAGCAAATACGCCACAAAGTCAACCACGGACTGGTCCGCGATTGCTGCGTTGCCTTCTTTGTCTTCGACAAAGGTGATATTTCCTAGCCACAAAATAGCTGCTAGCATGCGAAAAATATTGTCTTGTTCCGCTTGCTGCAGACCAATGACCTTCATGGCGTTCAAAGTGTCTTTGAAATCGCCATGGTCGTCGATGCCTGCAACGTCAAAACACTTCGATCGACTTGTATAAAGATATGACTTTGGCTCCTGAACACCGAATATTTCTCTGTAATTTTGTGACGCGGCTTTCGTGAACTGATAAAAAATATGGAAATTCCTCTCGTTAGTGATTTGCCCTACCACTCGGGACTTCTCCAAGAGGTAATTGTTGATGTTCGCTCCCACAGGCTCGCCTTGTTGGTTGAAGTGGATCTCCAGATATTTCCCAAATCGCGAAGAATTATTGTTCCTGAGAGTCTTTGCGTTACCGAAGCTTTCAAGGAGAGGATTCGTCGCGAGAACCATGTCCTTAATCTGCTGAATCGACGAATCGCTGCCACCTGATACGTTCGCGATGTATTGCATTATTCGTTTTGCCGCCTCCGTCTTCCCTGCTCCTGATTCACCAGAGATGATAATACACTGGTTCTCGTTGTACGCCTTCATATTGTAGTACGCCGACTCCGCAATGGCGAATACGTGAGGGGGCATTTCTAATCTGTTCTTGCCCTGGTAACTGTGTAGGACGTCATCTGTGTAAATCCCAAGGTCCCTGAACGGGTTGACCGAGACCAAGACATGGCCGATGTATGTCTACTGCTCCGTCAGCAAAGCACAATCGCGTGCCCAACATATAGAAGACATACGTATATCTCGCCGTTCTCAAACCGCTTCTTCAGGTTATCATTGATCGCCTCATTGGAGATCTTGCTGATTAGCGTCAAATCCGACACGCCGACCTCCTTCTTCTTGTTTGTTTCGTAGAGAGCCTTCTTGATACCTTGTCCGCCGGTAGAACGGCCGCCGCCTCCCGCGGACGGCTGCGCGTCCTTCTTGCGGCCGGCTCTTCTGCTCACAGCAGGCTAGTTATTGCGACAGTAAGCACATGTACGACTCAACGAAAAGGTACAGAGGCAAGGCGGCTGTCCATACCATAGTGTCTTAGGTAGCGCCCCTTTGTAGACTGCCCCGCCGAGACAGGAGGCTGTAGAAGATGGTGAAGCGAGTAGTAGGGATTGAATCGGAAACGCTGCGCTGAGCGAAGAGAGTAGGAAGAATGGGGAATAGGAGGACGGCGGAAGCGCTGGGCTCTACGAAGTACACAGTAGCAATTTGTTGCGTCTGAGGTTTGAGAGCCTGCCCTGTCGGTGCCCAGCGACCGGGCCGCATTTGCTGTTGGGTGACGCAGCTGCACCGCCTCTTTCTGCACTTCGGTGGCTAAACCGGCTTAGTCATCGCCAAATTCTTCATCTTCCCTTCAGACATCGTCGCTCGATTCCGCGATTGTGCACGTATGAGGAATTCCGACGCGCAAGCGCCCTCGGCAGAGAACTGCCCATCTTACGTGTGTTTGCCCTCCTTTAAAATTGTGGCACGCAGAAGATTGCGTATGCGCATTCTGTCCAATCCGAACAGGAATGAGACCTTAATCGTTCCTGAAGGCAACAGCAAAATGGTCTTGGCATTTGATAGCGTTTACGCTCTACGTGACAGCAGAACATCGGAAACCAACCCATTTCATCCTGGAGGAAACACGAAGACGTAGACCCGATAGAACAGTACCAAGATGTCAACGATAGTAAAAATCTACAATGCGTGGTTCGACTGTGGGTGTCATTGGACCCTGATATCCCCGCCAAACCTACCCACGGTCGTCCACTCCTCCTTCTTGCCCTCGCTGAGCTGTGGCCCATTCCATTGAACCCTCTGCACGTCGCTGGATGGACTGCAGCCCAAACCGCCTGCTGCTACCCACTGACCAACAACTTCGACGACAAACTGCAGCTTGTCGCGAAGCAGATTTACTTGCGTGGTATAGATCTTCTCTCTAGAGCTGGCTGCCGAGACGAACATCAACTCTGCAGGAGAACCAGAAAGCAGCTCGCGTGAGCGGATGTACTTAAATGGTAGGTCGCCGTGCTCTTTGAGATGGACCATGGCATCGACAGAGAGACATGTGAAGTTGACGAAGGTGCCATCTGCGGATAGGACGAGCTTTGTGTGGTCTGGGAAGTTGAACTGAGTCTTGGTTAGCACCTGGAACACGAGATATGCCGTCCACCAGACCTACCTGGAGAGCCCCGTCATTAAAGCCCCAGACGCCAACGGCACCCAGCCTCTGATAGAACCGCGGGAAGATCGGATCACCGTTGGCATCCACGATGGTCTCGCTCTGAACTTGCGATTCGCCAAGTTGAGCACACATGTACTTTGCAAACTTGGCCCAGAGGATCCCAGCCGTCTTCTTTCGTTCGGATGACAATGCTCCCTTCAGAAGCTCATCCCTCGGATTTTGGACCCAGTATTCTATTGGTACACTGTTGATTCTCTCCATATCCTTACCAACTAGCTGTAGGTGCCGATATCCGTCTCGGACGACAGCATGAGTAACGGGGTGTTTTGATGTTGAGTTGAACAGGCAGCCAATGGTTCCGTCTTCCAGGACATAACCTACACCATGTTTCCGTGCGTAATCTACCCATTTAGCAACAAATGGTAAATTAAATGGCCTATATCCTCGCCTCCCTTTAGGCTGATCGCCTTTCAGTGCCGCGGCGATGTTGTCTCTAAGCCGCGATGCCCGCTCCAGCACATCTGAAGGATCCGTACATGAATTCAACTTACTTGAAGGTTGACTGGCGGCGGAACTTGATTCGCTGTCTTGAATAATGACAAACTCGGTGGGCGGTTTGGTTTTAGGTGGTTTCTCTTGCCTGGAAACCTTTCGCGTCGTTCCTAATCTTCTCGCTGGTGCATCCATAGCAGCGGGTTTTCTTTCTCGGATTGTGCTTAAAGGTACTTCAGCGATCTCTTCTTGCCTCTTGGTTGTTCCATGTTCTCTCGAGGTCGCGTCTCTTCTTGACGGTTTCCTATTTAGTGCTGGCTTCCCTGGTATCTCATCTTCTTCAGCTTCTTGAGCTCTCACAGTTCCCACTTGTCGAGCTTCTGAGGCTTTAATCCTTGGAATCGCCCTCCTCTCTGTTGCAGCTTGCGAACAGACCGGCTTGGTTTCTACTCGTCTCTTTGTGTTGCTTGCCTGCCGCTTTAACGTCTGCACAGGTTCCACAACTTGCACGTCGTCAACCAGCGGATCCATGTTTTCCTTCAGCATGTCCAAAGTCTGTTGAGGGATGCTTCGCACGCCAATTGTCTTATTAGGTCGTTCATTTCCACTGAGCTCTACCAGTTTCCTGCTCTTTTTTGCTGTTATTTTTTCATCGCCACTATCGTTTGACGCGTTTTGGACACTGTCCAAAAGAGTGTCTCTGTCCGGAAATGGCAAGTAGACTGAATTCTTTGGCATGGGCACGATGGGCGCTCGTCCTGCCGCAACTTCTCTCTCACAGTCTTTGACGATGGAAATGATGCGTTTTGCGCCATTGAGCGGAAATATCTGTCCAGGAGCATACTCTCCAACCCCCGAAGCCTTGCAAAGTCTGAACCATGACTCCGAGTATCCCCTTTTGATTGTTTCTGCGCCTGGAGGCTTCACAGGAGGCCAATTCGGTTTGGTCTTCGTACATGTACTGTCTAGAGTCTCCGGTATAAATTGCAACTTAAAGAATGCATGACTGACAATCTGGTCCGGACCAGGCCTTTCCTCTTCGTCGTAAACCAGCAGTGAGCTTACTAGATCCTTCAGATCATTTGAAATATCATTCTTGTGCACCGCAACATCTGGCCATTCATAACGCATCGCCAATGCTTTCTTGTATATTTCTTCCTTGCTTGAAGAGTGGAACGGGGCTTTGCCGACTGCGAGTGTGTACAAGATGATACCTATCGACCATAGATCGGCCTTGTCGTTGTGTCCTTGTTTCTCTAGAATCTCTGGCGCGAGATAGTTGGGCGTTCCACACATCGTAGTCCGTCTGATCCCAACATCCTTTGAAGATACCAGCACGGCGGCAAGTCCAAAGTCTGCAATCTTGATGTTCATGTTGTTATCCAAGAGTATATTGCCAGTTTTCAAATCTCGATGCACTATGTTGCGGTAATGCAGATACTTGACGGCACCGCACAGCTGGATCAGGAATCGTCGTATCTCCGGCATAGTGAAAAACTTGCGCTGCTTAAGCGCATCCGCAAGCGACCCATTGTGGCAAAGCTCTAAGACAACGTATGTGTTCTCCTCAAATGAAAAGGCGCGATAGAACTCTACGATGTTAGGGTGGTGCAACTTCGAGTGTAGTTGTAGCTCGGAGGCGAACTGTTTTGAAAAGACGGTCAGCTAACAATTCCCAGACTCCTTTACACATACTAAATGCAAGAGAATTATTCTCACTTTTTGTATTATTCTCTTGTCTTTCTGGTTCTTGACAATCTTCAGTGCAACGATTTTGCCGGTAGACTTGTTGTTCTGGTGTAGCTCAGCGGAGTAGCAGATTGCGAATCCGCCATTTCCTAGCTTCTTGCCTATGTGATACTGATAGCCCTTATGCTCGCGAACTACCGCTGGTGGGGGATCAGCTAGCAACGACATTATTTCATTCGTAGTCGACGATGTGGTGGTGCTGCGAAACGATAGTTGGTCGTGGTGCGTTCAATGTTTGGGGTCGTGTTTACAATAGCAACAGGTAGGGGTCCAGTTATACGGTGAGCAAGGTACACCTCAACTTGATTCGAACGTAGGCGGGCCAGCAGTCATAGTCGAACGAATTCCTTGGGCAACACAAAAAGCCATCAATACTAACTGGACATTAGAGACAAATCTTTTTGTGGGCGGGACTTCGAACAATGTGCACTTTTTTTCCGCTCTCGCATCGGTAGCGTTGTTGACAACCAGCAAACATCATGTCTTTGACATTCAAGCTTGGCTCGCTAGCCATCAGAACGCTTGCAAAGCCACTTAGTGTACGCGCTCCAGGATAATGATGGAGTTTTGATTTTCTTGGGCTGATAATCTCTAGAATTACATCAAACGAAATGCGATGCAACATGAGAACTTCCGGCGGCTATGTGTTGGTTTTGCGCAACGATTGCACAGAGTGGACATGCGATTGCGTATTGGGCTGTTACAAGACCCCGCTGCAATCGAGAGGCAAATTCAACGTGAAGTCAAGGAGGCGGAAAAGAGAAGGCTGAAAGATGCAATCCCTACGGTCAAAACCGAAGCGGAGACACTCGCAGAGGAGGCAGCCAAGAGTAAAGAGAGGAAAGAGGCAGAAGAGTACGTCAAAGCGACGCTTAAAGCGCCACGTATACGACCACTCAGCGAGAATAAAGCCATAGAAACCGGCGCGAATTTCATTGCCGAGGCTTTTTTGTTTTTGGTCGCAGGTGGACTGATTCTAGCAGAAAGCTGGCGCAGAGACCGCAAGGAGAAGAAGCAAGATGCTGAAGTCAACGACGCCCTGCTCATCGCGGAGAGGGAGAGGGAGGAAATGAAGCAGAAGCTCGAGCTTCTGCAAGCTGAGATCGAGGCTTTGATGGACAACAAGAGACCATTCGACTCTGTGCGTGCCGCCGCAGTAGCGTCGATTCGTCAGATTCCCTCTACGCATCACACATCAACAAAGTCTGTGAGTAGCGAGACCGGTGTGAATGGAAATGAGAAGAGCGCATCGGGCGCCGCAGGAGCGACAGCATCACACGCTCCGCCGGCAGAGTCACAGAGCATTCCGTCGTCACCAGCAAAGCCATCTGACTCAACCAAAATGGCGAGAGATGCTTCGAATGAGCCATCTTTAACAAGATCATCTTGGCTTCCGAGCTGGCTGGGAGGGAGTAACTCAAAGCCCAGTTCCTCCTGACGCTCGGTCCAGACATGACGAGATCTGAGAGCTATGTAAATGTTGCTTGTATATAACACTCTGCATCTTTTTGCCCTACAGAGTAATCGTTCATGGCGGATGGTTAAACCCATCCTGACCAAAAAGAAGAAAAAAAAGAAGATAAGAAAGAAATGAATTCCACTCTGACACATACAAATTCGGAATAGATGGGTACACGCCGCAAGCATCCATTACATCTAGATCCGAACACCATCCACAGAGTTCCTGGCGACTCAGAGCTCAGCCGGGCAGTGACAGAGGAGATCGGAGGCGTGGAAGTGATGAATCAAGTTAGACTCCACTCGGTCTCAGCCGGCCGCATTCGGAGCTATTGAACCCTGAAGCTTGGCAGGCAACCAAGGATGGTGATGAGGGTCGCGTTGCGTTTTCACTCCTGTTAAACGCATGCAGAGATCCAACTATCCCAACTATTATGTTTCTTCTCTACAACACATCCTGAAGCCGAGATCTCAGCGAACTTGGCGCTATCGACAGCCCAACGAACCATCTCGTACACGTCGCCTGCCGATCTTCCTTTGCTTGCATCTCATCTCGCCTAGAGCACGCTCTCACGCCGTACGTGCAACAGCTATCCACTTGTCGTCACCGTACAAAGCGAGGCATCGTCGCCCGTGGAGAACATTGATGCAGAGCTAAAGCGAGCCAAGTAAGGCAAGAAGACCTCATCTATAGATGCGCACCGGCCTGCCATCGTAGCTACACGTCCTCGGCGCAATGGAAGCAAACCCCAATCGCGATGGCTGGAGCCAGTCTGGTCAAACCTCAAATACCACCTCAAACCCGTCGCAACCACCGTCTGGGCCAAATGGCGCTCCAGTATTACCGCCTCCGCAAGGTAAGCATGCTTCCTGAGCTATTTTGAGATGGACATGCTAAAATGACTTCTGCCCAGCATCATTCTTTTCTGGACCGCCGCCCGCACATAACCTGCCTGGCATAGCCGGCCTTACTCAAGCATCACAGTCACATCCATCGCAACCCGTGCAGCATACGACCTCCAGATCCGAGCCTGGCGCACCATCAAATGCTCTACCAGTTCCTCAACCACCGACCTCCCACGGCTTCTCGGCTATAAACCAACATCAATCTCAAAGTCAGAGCAATATGGATGCTGAACGAGAACGCATGCAACGGGAGATGGAGGAGATTGCTCGGAGGGAAGCTGAGCAGAGAGACCTACGAGAAAGGCAGTTCCGCGAGCAGCAGCAACACGAGCCGCAGATCATCCATCAACCTGTAGCTGTGCCACCGAATGTACGCTCAATACATGGTCCGAATGGGTTGCTAGGAAATCCAAACGCAGCTGCGACATCTTCTGCACCTGGTCAATCAGGGGTAGGAACTTCTCAAGGCCTCTTCCCCGGTGCTCAAATCGGCCCGGATCACAACGTTCGCACGCAGCAACCAGCTGGAACAGCACAGCCGGCAGTTATACCGTTTGGCCAATCAGCTGTTCAAAGTGCACCCATGAATCAGGCGCAACAACCGATTCTCAATGATGCACTCAGCTACTTAGACCAAGTAAAGGTGCAGTTTGCCGATCACCCAGACGTGTACAACCGCTTTCTCGATATTATGAAAGATTTCAAAAGTGGTGCTATCGATACACCAGGTGTCATTGAGAGAGTTTCGCAACTTTTTGCTGGAAACCCTGCACTTATTCAAGGTTTCAACACTTTCCTTCCTCCAGGCTATAAAATCGAATGTGGTGCAGGCAACGACCCAAATGCGATCAGGGTGACCACGCCAATGGGTACCACTGTCTCTACGATGCCGGCGCCGCGACCCGTTTCTCCAATGCGAGGACCAGCTCCAAATGGCGCAGTTGCAAATCCGCCTGAACGGGCTTTCTGGCATCAGCAGCAACCGGGAGGAGTAGATTCACGCTTCAGTCCTGATGGACGGCAGAATATGGCTCAGCCAGTATTTGCAAACCAAGGCGCACCCACCTCACATCCCACTAGTTCTCCAGAAGTTTACCGCCAACAGCAAGCTGAAGCTGCAGCTATTCACAGGGTAGAGCAGCAAAATGTCGCGCAACTCGGCAATGCGGCGGCGGCGGCTTCTGGCAGAGACCTGTCGGGTAGAAGCGGCCTCCTTGGCTCTCCTGGTGATGCGAGTGCGCCAATTCACCCACCAATGAATGGCGTCAACCCGGGGGCAGCAATGATGGTAAATGGTGGAATGGAGAAACGTGGTCCTGTAGAGTTCAATCATGCCATCAGCTACGTGAACAAGATCAAGGTAAGAGTTTTTCAAAGAGACAAAAGATGTTCAAGAATGCTAACCGCGGCTTAGAATCGGTTTGCGCAGCAACCAGATATCTACAAGCAGTTTCTTGAAATCTTGCAAACTTACCAGCGAGAATCTAAGCCAATTCAAGACGTCTATGCACAGGTCACACGCCTATTTGAAACCGCCCCAGATCTTCTTGAAGACTTCAAGCAATTTCTTCCGGAATCGGCTGCTTCAAATCAAAATAAGGCACCTGCCAGATCAGGCGGAGAAGACGCATTTCCCCTTAGTAGCACAAGAAACGAACCCACTTACATTGCTGCTGCATCCGCCAACAGTCATCTGCACCAGACGCCTCGGCCGGAACAGCACCATAGACTCCCGCCCATTGGCAACTTTGCTCCCACTCCGAGCGTAAATAGAGACAATAAACGCAAGCGAAGCGATAGGCAAGGCGGTGCTCCGTCCATAACGCCAATTGCACCCGAGGTGAATAACGTGGCTGGTCGAACTGCAGTTAGCCAGCAGCCAAATGGGAATAAGGTACGTGCTACAATGCTTTCAACTTTTCTCGCATTCATGCTATGTCTTAATCATAAAGCCTATGCGTGGTTTCATCACATTTAGCAACCACTAAAGAAGCATCGACATATGTTATGAATGCTTGGACAACGTTAGTTGGGCGCCACGCTTCTTTAATTCGTTTCTGCACTTACAATTCTACGCATTCTATCTCCCACGATCTTATCACCATCTCGCAAAAACAGATCAGATCTTGTTTCTTAAATACATGGTTATCAAAGGCTAACAATAGTGTAAAGCGATTGAAGCAGACACAGCCTCCCAAACAAGCTGCACCATCGTCCGATATGTCAACCACAACACCTTCACTTATACCACCAGCACTACCTCTACCTCTCCCACCGGCGGTTTCCTTGAATGCTTCGACTGAGGACTTCAGCTTTTTCGACCGTATACGCAAGCACATTGGCAATAAATCGTTGTGGGCTGAATTCTTGAAGCTCCTCAATCTGTACAAGCACGATTTTATTGACCTTCCATTCCTCGTTTTCAAGGCTCAAGCATTCATCGGCTCGAATCCAGATCTGATGCAGCAGTTCAAGGATTACCTTAAGTACAAGGATTCAGAGTACAGGATCACAAACGAGCCACAAACTGTTAATGGTCGCATTCAACTTTCGAACTGTCGAGGTCTTGGTCCCAGCTACAGGCTGCTTCCAAAGCTCGAGACGAACAAGAAATGCAGTGGACGTGATGATTTGTGCAACTCCGTTTTGAACGACGATTGGGTGTCACATCCAACTTGGGCTTCTGAGGACTCCGGATTTGTTGCTCACCGAAAAAATGCGCACGAGGAAGGATTGCATCGTGTTGAGGAAGAGCGCCACGATTATGATTTCTATATTGAGTCTTGCCGCCGCTCAATTCAGCTGCTGGAACCAATCGCACAAGGCTTGACTGGCCTTACTCCTGAGCAGCGCATGAACTTTCAACTCGATCCCAAGCTTGGCGGCCAGAGTGAGGCCATATATCGTCGTGTAATCTACAAGATCTACGGCCGCGAGAAGGGTAACGAAGTCATCCGCGAACTATTCCGCCGCCCATACGACGTCATCCCCACTCTCCTGGCTCGCATGAAGACCCAGTGTGAACAGTGGAAGGCCGCTCAGATCCAATGGGAGAAGGTCTGGCGTGCACAAACAGATGCGCTCTTCTGGAAGAGTTTGGATCATCAAGGCGCGGCTACACGTGTTGCCGATAAGCGCCAATTCTTCGCCAAGCAGCTGATCAACGAGATCCAGGTTAAATATCAGGAGCAAAAGCGTCAACGTGAGCTTAACCGAGTCAGTGGTGTGCCTAATTGGCATTTTTCGTACTCGTGCGAGGATAAACAAATCTTGCGTGATAGTGCGGGACTGATAATCTTATACGCTGAGCAGAATTACTCAACTGAACACCCGACACTTGTACGCTCCATCAAAGAACTGCTGACTCAATTTTTCTTGCTCGATAGCAATGAGCTCGACCAAGAATCCTTTGCTCAAGATATGGATATTGACATGGACGGCCAATCTGAGACTGGTGCATCGCCACGCCAACGACCAGCTAAAGGTGGTAGGGGCGGACTACTTCGAGGCGTTCTAGACAAGACTCGACGACGTGACGCGGAAGACAGTGAGAGTCGCAGTCGCCAAAGTACACCAGACGAACCACTAGCGGAGATGTCAGATGCTCCCGAACTCTCCGCTACTGCCCAAGTCGGTGAAGATCAGCCATCAACAGACAAATGGTTCACCCATCCGACAGACAACAACATCTTGGATAGCATGAACCTCCAGCCAAATGAACCTTACAAGAGGACGGTATACAATATGTATAGCAACGCGGCGATCTACTGCTTCATGCGTCTCTTTGGAATACTAGTTGAACGCCTTGAAAAGATCAAAGCTAACGAGGAGAACGTGCGAGAAGATGTCAAATTACAGAAGGAGCGCAAGGCCGCTCATGAGCTTGGTTGGATTTCGAAGGAGCCATCCCATTACTTTGCCAACACCGATCCAGGGGCCAATTACTATGCGCAGATGCTAGACCTCTTTAAGGGCATGATCAGGCAGGATGTGGATAATGCACAAGTTGAGGATACACTTCGTCGATACTATCTTCAAGATGGTTGGCAGCTCTACTCCCTTGACAAGCTGCTCGGGGCGCTGAACAAGTTTGCCATGGGCATTTTCTTCCCAGATGCGAAAGAGAAGACACCAGAAATTTATGCCTTGTTCAAGAAGGATCGCCAACGAGGCGATGTCATCACACACAAGGATGAGGTCCATTATCGACGATCTGTGGACAGACTCGCACGCGAAGGCGAAATCTACCGTATCGGATGGGTATGTCGCGTAAATGAATTCACAGAATTCGAGGAAACTAACAATCTTCAGGATGTCAACAATTCTAGGATCACAATTCAGCTCATCAAGTCAACGGACCCAACCTTCGAAACGTCCTTACTGTCACGAGCCGAAGCATGGAAAGTCTACATCTCATCCTACGAGACCGTTTATCCCACCGAAGGTGTCGATCACTCGCTTGTCCGTCTTCCAATCCTCAAGCGCAACCTCAAGCAGCTCTTTGGCGAAACAGGCGAGCCAACGGCGAAACTCGAAGAGCTCAACATTGTAGACATAGAGCGCATGCAGTTCCGTATCTCGGCCTCCACATACCGTATGGAGGTCGAGCCGTTCAGCACAGACTTCATCGCCAACTTTAGCGGATACAGAGTCGTAAAGGATAAGGACGCTCAGGCCGAAGCGGAGCGGCGTGGTGCGGAAGTTGAAGAACGCTTCAGAGCAAATAGCGAATGGATGAAGGGGCGCAGTAAGGATGAGGTCGATGCAAAGAAGCAAGAATTTGCGGAGAGATTCAATCAGGTGATTGAACCGCCGAGAAGGAGATAGCGAGTAGGATGTGTGCTTAGGGGTTTCATGCATTAATCTGCATGTCTTTTTTTCAATTTGGAGTGGCTTATTTTGCAGGTTTTCATCCCTTGTTGTGAGTTTACACTGTGCTGCTTATCTTGTAACGGCTTTATCTTGCGACGGACTCATGTATGGCAGGAACTGACTGGCTGGCGCAAGATGGACCGGACGGTATTGCCCAAGATACACAGGGCGACTTTTTTCTCCCCTTATGTAAAAGGCTTTCTCATATTTAACTGTGCTTATAGTCGAGCAACCAGCGCGATAAGGCGCAAGCACTCTTTATGAGGTTCTACTCTCCAAGTTGGTCTCGTCGCGCCTTCCTCACAGTCCTCATCGCAGCTTCCCACCCTATGTCTTATGTTTGTTTCGCCCATCCGTGTTCGACTTTCGTGTTCGCTTTTTCTGGGTGTCTTTGGAAACTTGTTTAACTCACAACAGCAACTATCACACGCTATGGCATCCATAAGACCGCTCGAGGGCGGTACAGCGTTACTACTCACATCTACACAAGTTATAACCTCTCCACTATCTGCAGTGAAGGAGCTCCTTGAAAATTCGCTAGACGCATCTGCAACCTTCATCTCGATAGAGATCTCATCCAACACAGTCAATGTGGTGCAGGTACGCGACAATGGGCACGGCATCGCCCCAGATGACCGAGGCGTGTGCTGTCGCCAAAATACAACAAGTAGGCTGAATAGCGTTGCCGATTTGAGAAACGTTGGAGGCAAAAGCTTAGGATTTAGAGGTCAGGCTTTGTTCGCCTTGGCGGAGGTAGCGGGGAAAATGGAGGTCACGACAAGAGTTGAAGGTGAAAGTGCAGCGGTTAGGCTGGATATCGGGGCGCAAGGCGAAGTCGTGACGTACGTAGACCTTGCAATCCATTTGAAATTCGCGAATGCTGAGACGCATCTAAAGAAGGACGGTGGTGTCTCAGCCAGTTGGAACCTCTGTACGCATCACAGACCTCTTTGCCAAATTCCCAGTACGTAAACAAGCGGCAGAGAAAAGCGCGGTGAAATGTCTTGCCAGCATCCGAAGATTGCTCCAAGCGTATGCGTTGGCGAGACCCAATGTGCGGCTCGCTTTACGAGTTTCGAAGATCAAGGCCAACAAGATGAGCCTGGTCTATGCCCCGGATGTGAATCAGGCGACGGTGCAAGATGCCGCATTCAAGATTATTGGCACAGAGCCCGCATCTCAATGTTCTTGGTATGCTCTCAAGGTTCACTCGTACGATGTGCAAGCTCTGCTACCCACTCCAGAAGCAGCCGCATCGAAGATCAGTAATTTTGGACACTTCGTGTCTGTTGATCGAAGACCAGTGTCTCCGACTCGGGGATTATTCAAGAAAATTTGCAAACAAATCATCGATAAAATAAGGAAAAGCAACATCACTTTGGCCAGCGTGAATAATCCTTTTTTCGTCGTCAATATTGGATGTCCCAAAGGTTGCTACGATCCTAACGTTGAGCCCGCTAAGGACGATGTTTTATTCGAAGATGAAGGACAAGTCTTCGAGGCAATCGAAAGATTGCTTGATTTGGCGTACACAAGTTGCCAAAAACCAAGCAATCGACTAGATCCCGATTCGCCGCAGTTAGGAAGGATTACCGCTCAGGCGTTGACATCTGACAATCGAGATCGAGAACATTGTCCCGATCATGAGGATGATTTTGAAGCACTCGAAACCAATCACGTCCCATCTCTTTCAAGTACAGAAGGTCGGTCATGCCTCCTCGTCGACAAAGAAAGACCTAGCAGCCCGTTCAACTACGACGAAGAACGGAATGCGGAAATGCCCACCGATGATAATGAGATTGAAGTCCCACAAGAGCAAGCAAACATCTGGAGAGCTACCATGTACGGTTGTGATGAGGATGATGTGGAATTGGTTGATTCGAGAGCACGGTCGGCTAGCGTTGACGCGATTGTGCATCCTACCGATAAAAGTGATCTCAATCCTTGGATCATTGCGAAACTTAACGCGTCGCTTAAGCGTAAAACAAAGGAAGGAGCAAGCAAAGATGTCTTAATTCCACCCACAACTACATTTACTTTATCATCTACGCCATGTTCACAAGATTATACTCAAAATAGCTTGCTTGCAACATCCGTATGTGGTGATGAAAACCTTCTGGATTCCCAGCCATGTTGCGAAGTTGAAAGAAATGAAGACCTTTTTTGGAGAAGTCAAACGCTGTTCAGTCGAAATCAACAGGAAGTCTCACGGCTTGACAGCTTACCGACACCGCTGCCATCTTCCTCTCCAGATCATCGACAATTGAAACGGATACAATCAGGAAATAGGCGTGAACAAAAGAAAAACCTCCGTAGCAAGTTCACTAACAATATTTTCGATCTACTTCAACTGGCAAAACCAAACGTTGATTGCCGCAAAACGCATAATCCAGTGAGCACAAAAGGTGAAAAGAAATTTATGAAGCGAGGCAGTAAATGCCAATTAGCATCGACAAGTTCAGTGGATACATCTCAAGCGGCGCTACTTTCAAAGCAGATTGAGTCCAGAGACTCTACGTCTAACGACGAGCAAATTAACGACTTTCGAACTCGACTCAGGCAAGCAGGTGACGTTCCATTTTCTCAACATACCCAAAAGTATAAGCAGCTTGAAATAGCACATTTTTACGGACAAAGAAATGAAGAAAAGCCGAACTTCCAACCATGTGCTTGGACGGCGGTAAACCTTGTCCAAGGCATCTTTCCGTCAAATGAGCCCATAGCGAGGCCACCAACAGCTAAGCGTCGCTGTACGACGAAGATTGCCTCTCCTGAATTGCCACATGAGCATGTCTCAGAAGGTCGCGAAACTCATCATCTTCATTACAGAATTGTACTCTCATCTACGAAGCTCGAAGAACTTACACATCTTTTTGGCAAGTATTCTCATGAAGTTGCGTTTGAGGAGAGAAATGAAGTTGTATATGGTGGGTTCGAAAGCCTGTCGCCTCTGCTGCTGATGAATGCGGGAATCAGGGCAATAGAACTACTGAGAGAGAAACTGGGTCAAGCAGAAAGATTGAATGACAATGAAGCAGTTTCGACGTACAGAAATGTACTTATCACGCTTGAAAGAACCACCACAACAGAAGAAGCGGCAAGGGTCGAAATTAGTTAAAGGGAACTTTTCCCGTCCTGGATCTTCTGGGCGTTGCTCAATTTCTGAGCGTGTATTGCGCAGTCTGCTCCTTTCTCACGGGCCCTGAAAATGAACATTTCGAGGAATCCCAGTTGATATCAACTTACTTTTGGTCGCAACGGAAAAATTTAATGGCTGGTCTATGTTCATTAAACCATTTTGAAAGGCTATAACAATATGAAGTCCAGAATAAGCATTTTCTCATAGCTATAGGCGCTTAGCTACATACGCTAAATTGAAACGCTTAACTAGCTTCCAGATATTGTTGTTGGACATTCGTACTTAATTTGCATGCTCACCTAAATTTTCAAGTTTTTCGACATCGAGTACGTTCTCCTCTAAGTCTCATTGCGCATCCACCAAACAGCAGTCGAAAGCTAGATGTTTCGATCAACTGTGCCATGACGCAGCTATCTGCAAACGCCTTTGATTTCATGCCAAGCACACTTCAAGGAGCAAGAGAACCACGTCTCACCGGCACGGGAAGACAGCGATGTAACCTTCCAAACACCAGAAGCTGCGCCGCTCCAATGGATCGGTACCTGTCGGAGGAAGCTCAGCGACCTTGATTTTTACTGCAAGGTGCTGTCGTCGGAATTTGGCTAGATCTAAAATCTCTACGTATCCGTACGTGATCGTCGTCATCAAATTAACTATTATCTGTTCTTTTTTCTTCCAACTGCTTACTTCCAATACCCAGGTCATCTGCAAATTCTCAGGCTCCACGTTCCTCAATATATCGTTTCACATCTTTCTGGAGCGTGTTGCTCTGCAACTTGACTAGATCCATGATCTCCTCAATGTCCGCCGTCTTGTTGCAAAGAGGCTCGACCTCAATCATTTGATCGAGTACAGCTTGCAACTGATTTGGCAACCACTGCGTGTTGTAAGTTCACTTGTCTTCCAGAAAGGAAAGTTGACTAGAACTGTACTCACCGTAACAATAGGCGATCCTCCCGTGGCAGTGGCATGCCTCGTCCTCCGCAGAATGTACTCCCTTGTGAAGTTCCAGTGACGCCACCGGAAATCCCGCACTTCGTTAAGGCACTTGAGATACCAGCTAGCGCTTTCCTTGTCTGCAAGAGCGAAGCGACGCACGTCGATGTTCTCGGAACGAGCCTGGACCCAAGCAAGGAATTCGCGATGGTTCCCAGGCCTGTATTTGCGGAAGTCGCGCAAAATCTCCGTAAGCGGTGTGTTAGGCATGGTGATTTGCAACAGATTGTCGCAGAGTGGAATCATGCTGTCGTTGGCTCCGGACTCACCGCGGAAATATTGCGGCTCGTTGCCAACGCCTTCGTACAGGACACCATTTGGAAACATGGTCTGGGAGGTGATGCCGAATATGAACGTCCGGAATGACGTATAGGATTGTGGCTTTGACTTTGTCCACATTTCGTTCATGACAGTATTGACTCTGGCGAGCGCATCAACGACGCCTTTTAGAGCTTTGTTGAACTCTACGCGGTTGGAGTCGGCGCACGCATTCAGAGTATCCATGGCGGCAGATACGAGCGCACCAGAGTGTTTCACCATGGCTACGTGCACGAGCACAAAACCCGCCTCAGAGGACTTGGGATCAAGTCCATGCTGCAGCGTACAACCTGTCAGCCCTAGTCTATCATAGTTGAGTCGCTTCTTGGACATAGAAATATTGGACCACATTCCATTCTATCCGTGAACGAAATCGCAGCAACTTAGAGCAAGAGGCGTGAAAGGCGAAACACCTTGCCACGTTCTATGACTTACTTCGAAAGCCCTGATGAGGCGCAAGTTATCATATTCAAGACCCTTTTTAGGGTCCTCTAGGCGGTAATTGAACAGGGCATATGAGCCCGCATATTCCATGAACGGCATAAAGCCTGCACTACAACACGAGTCAGAATGTCAGGAGGAATCCTCTTTCCTTGGCACCCAAAGGTCAACATACATTTCTGCCACCTTAACAATGGGCACAGCGATGTTTGCGGGAAGCACATCTCTGGCCAAACCATATGGCTCACCCTTCATGAACCGACCATGACCTGGGTCGATGTGAGCGTGAGATCAAGAACCTAGGTGGGAGACTAACATGGTTCAAGTAGATAAGCTGAGGCCAAGAAGGAGTAGTCTCGGTAGAGCGCATTCATGAGTGGTAGATCCTCCTTATACTTCTCAATAGCATCAGTCAAGTCAGGGAAGTTCTTGACAGCTTCGCCAAGCTCACATGTAGCCAGCAGCCCAGGTGTGCCATCGGCCTTCTTAATCGGCATATTGGACAGTATAGTCTCCAATGGCTCAAACTCCTTGGGTAAGCTGACGACAGGCTCTGCACGAGGTAGAAAGCCTCTGTCATAGGACACCATGAAGGCAGGCAATGACTTGTCGTCAGGCACGGTGTCCTTCAGGACGTTGAAATAAGTTGAGGTTGAAAGGGCCATCTTGATCTAGGTAAGCACGTGATAGGACTCTGATCGATGAATGTGAGGTTTTTGACTTATTGAGTGCCCAACACCCGCGAACCACGCTTCCAGGCGCTTATATAGACAGAGGCCGGTTTCAAATCCGCTATTTTGCGGACTGTTCCGGCCACGCCCTCCACAACGATCATACTAGCAAGATATGTACGTAATGAAAGCCTCCAGGCTCCACGATAAAGATTTTTCGTTACCAGCTAGTTCCATTATGTGTCAGCCCGCTCTCCGCATGATCTATCAGCCCCTGTGCGAGAAGTTGCATTTGATGATAACGCTGGCTGGAGTCGATCGGTGCTGGATTGGGATAAATTGTCCAGCCCACTGCAGAACAGATATTCTGGCGAGCCAGACATCTCCCCGTTCAACGGGTAACAGTCTGGCCCATGGCATGCACCGAATCGAACATTTTTATGCTCCGTGAATATGTTGTAGTACGTGGAGGGAGGCCCGAGAATGGATGATTGGCTGGACAGCGGAGCGGAAAGGGCAGTGATGTGAATTTCGCCCAGCAGTACTTGATCTGCTCAGCTGCGGCTCGCCTGCCCCGTCCTCCTCGCTCCAAGACGGCCGTCCCAGTGCGGAAGACTCACTCATGCCGTAGATGCTCTGGCTAGGACGATGGGCCGCTGCCGTCGAGCAGCTGGTTGAGCGCTTCCTCTCAGATCCAAGTTCAGGGTGAGTGCTCGCCCGTGTTTCGTTTGGCGATCCAAGCTCGCAATTCTTTCTAGACTAAGCAATGCGCGGAAGCTTACTTTCGAGGGTCACGTTTCAAGTGACGATCCATCACAGGCGGGCCGGCTTCTAGTTTAGGCTCTTGAACCAAGTTCGTCTCACGGTCTGGTCATTTGTACGCAAGGACAAGGTGAAACACTCAATAGGACATGCCTAATATATGTGCTGCATCGGTCATCGACCGCGGCTTTAAATCAATTGCCTCAGTTTGCGCTGAACATTTCAAAATGGAATTTGAAGTCGCTCACCAAGCATCCTGCGATTGACCATTCTATCCCACCCTTTTCAAAATGTTCAACTTCAAGAACAAAGGAAAAGCAGTGCTCAAAAATCGAAACGACGACGAAGAAGAGCAAAAGAGACTCACAGAAGCGAGTGATCACGAAGCCAATGATGAAATACACGAGACGACTCAGGAATACTTGTTCAGGCGATCGCTTGAGCGCAAGATTAGAAACCTAAAGATAGCCGTAGGTTTATTGAGTGTTTGCATATTCGGGCTTCTTCTTTTGCAAGGGCCATATGCGTACCAAAAGAGTCGAAGCCGGTTGATCCCATCGCCAGTTCCTCCACGTAGGTATTTCCTCTGCCACAAGCCTCATGACCAAAATGCTAAAGAGAAAGTAAGTCACCACGACCCGCGTCGTCTTTGAAAAGGATGAGCTCTACGCTCGTAGACCAGACCCAGAATCGGACGCAGCGTGGGACGCCCTGCTTCCTCCAGGCAGAGGCTTCGTCTTTATACCAAACCCGCACGAGTACGGCCTCCCACCGGGCGAAGCCACACCTTATGGAGATATATACTCCATCGCTGTATTCCACCAACTGCATTGCCTAGGACAGCTTCGACGTTTCACCTGGCTGTTCCTGGACTCTATCGCCGAAAACGGGACACACGGCGAGCTAACGCGACAGGCGATTATGCAAATGTTTAATGAAGGAGATCATGCAGAGCATCTCCACCATTGCTTTGATTACCTTCGACAAACAATCATGTGCGGTGGTGATATGAGCGTGGAGTGGCCAAGGGATGAGCCTGACGGGAGGCGGTTTGCTGTCGACGGGTGGGGCATTCCTCACGAGTGCAAGAATTGGGTGGGTGTTCTCCGATTGGCTTTACGCCTTTCTCCCGGCGAAGTGCTTACTTGAATCATAGGATACGATCATGGAGTACATGGATCAAAATCACTTCAATATGTCCACAAATACAGAAATTGCACCATTAGGAGGTAACGTTGGATGATGAGGATGACGATGTGGACGAGGACCGAAAAGCTTGACAACGTTTCCAAGCAAAACAACTGGGGGGGGGGGGGGGGGGGTCCGCAAAATGCTTGGAAATTCGCAACGCAAAGGGCAGTGTGACGATTTCTGTGCGTAGGACCTCTAGCTCAGTGTAGTACACAAAAGAAAGTGCGATTCTTTTACATGCCAGAGATTTCTCATTTGTACAAAGATGCATACTCAGCATCACACTCTGCCGACATTTCCAGAATCCGTCCCAAAGCGAGAGTCACGCCATCGCGGCTTGCAAATCTTTGGTCTAATAGTCGAAGCCCTCCTTGCCGTACTTGTTATACTTCTCATGCAGCTCCTTTGGCAGATTTACGTTTGGCACGATGACCACGCTGAGAGTGGACGGCGCATCCTTTGGCTCCTGCTTGGTGTCTCCTCCCGGGTGGTACTGGTAGATGGCGGAGCGGCCAGTCTTCCACGCTTCCGAGTCAGGCACCTTTGCGACGGTCTTCTCGGATGCAGATGTGGTTGGTGATCGGGCTGCAGATAGAAGGCATTGTTAGCACCCAATCTAGCTTTGATGAGGTGGGTTATCAAGGCCCAAAGGTCCTTACAGAAGTGCCAGCCGGCAATGCCAATGATGCCAGACATGATGGCAAAGAGGATCTATAGAGAGTGTTCCATTAGCTGCACATCCAACCATCTTCAAGCCATCGGTATGCACGCACGTAGAGCTCAGGATCGCGCTTAGCACCTTGCTGCAGAGCACCTTTCGATTGACCTCGCTCGGCAGCGCTGGCGCTGTGTTCGAATCGGCGAGCGACCGTGCGAAGAGCGACAGGACGAGCAGCCCGTAGGCCAACACGGGCAGCAATTGAGTACATTTTGAGGCTCAATTGGAGTGTCTTGGAGCTGGAGTGGAGAGTGAAAGTGTGGTGGAGTGAGCTTCGCATGACGCCGCAGCGAAAGTTGCTGTTGCTGGCTCGGACCGGCTTCTCACGAGATCTTGGCACTTGACCTGGCCTGTGGGCGCTAGGCCGAATCGGGATGGGCTCGTTTGCGCGCTGCAGGCACTTCAAGGGGGCTCGACAAGATGAACACCAGCTTTGGTCGTCGCAGGTTGTCACGGCGCCGTCGTGCTCAGATTCTTCTTTTCGCTCCCGTTCGTGACTCTGCGCGCTTTGCTTCCATCTTCTCTTTCAACGGCACAGAGCTGACGGATCAGTTTCTTCGTTCTCTGTTCTCCGTCTTTCCCCTTCTTTGTCCATCCTGCGACGCTTGATATATTCCCCCCCGTTTCCTATAATTCTCTATACTTTTTTTCTGCCTGAGTCGACGCAGCCATCCGCACTTCGACATTGCGTCCCGACCTCTCCTGCTCCGTCTTGAGGAGACCATGCCCTTGTGTGTCCCTACATCGCACCTCTCAATCGTACAAGTCAAGTCTGTGTGATGAGCAGACCTACCAGATCCGGATCCTTGGGATCCGACAGCGACACGTCCTCGTTTCCGACGGGCCTGGCGGCGCCGGGTAGAGGAGGGCAAGCCATGAGCGTTATATCATCGGCCATGTCCGACGTACCAGAGACCGAGGGGGAAGGTACACCTCAGGGCGTCACTGGGCCTGCTGGTGAACCCGGACTGCCTCCGTCGCGACCGTCAACCGCAGCAACGGCAAAGACGGGCGCGACATCCAGAAGAGCGCCCGGTAGCGCGACCGGATCAAGGCCGCCGTCTTCGTACAGCCGTACAAGTCGAACACACGTACCTTCTCTTACGTCGTCCGCGTTCTTCCGTCCCATGTCATCGCAGAGACTGCAGGCGCAAAGAGGCCCACGTCCTGCCTCAAATCAACTTACTCCTCGCTCTGTACCGACCAGTGAAATTAAGGAGAGTCGCGCACCCGAGACGGCTGCAAGCACGAAGACAACAAGCACCAATATGGCACAGACAGCTGTGGTAAGTTTGACTTCACGTTCATCATAATCAGGTTGCTGAAGAGTGCTGCATTTCTGTCCTGTCCAAATAGAATTCTTGCAAAATCTCTTGAAGATCGCACTAACTTGCGATTGCAGATGGGGTTGCGACTCGACGAGCGTCCAGTATCACGGGCAACCGACATTACGGATATGCCAGACAGGGGAACGGCGAATGCTTCGCCCAGTGGCGCAGACACGTTAAGAAGCGCAGGCGGGAGTGAGGCTCCATTAGCTGGTACAGATGTCTCGCCGATACGACACAGACCCAACAACCTCGATCTCACCCGGTCGTTCAAAAATGTACCGAATCAACAGACTCAAAAGTCACCACGATCCCCACGGTCGTTCAGGAACAGTTTCATCATGTCAAATCGTAATAGCCGTGCGTCAATAAACAGGCGACAAGAAGGGCATGAGAAGCTAGAGTCTGATCCACCCACGCCACGTACGATCACAAAGGAGGAGACGAAGGAAGTGGTCAGACGCGAGCTGGGGAAGAACTACGAGTACTTCTCTGGCAACACCCGGTTTTTTATGGGCGGCCGCTTCCAGAATGCTCGAGAGGTCCCGATCAACATTGGAACCGGCTTGGCAATAGTAATTCCTGCCGTTTTGTTCTTTGTCTTCTCGTAAGTGAATGATGTATCAACAGAGACTGATGCTTCTCTAACACCCCTTGTCAGAGCACACGATACTTGGCACCTTATAACACCTGCGATACCCATATTATTTGCATATGTCTTTTTGATTTGCTTCTCTTCGTTCATTCATGCGTCTCTATCGAACCCTGGGGTAATGTCGTCGAAGCACCTTCATGCAAACTTGTCTAACACATCCTAGATTTTACCTCGCAACTTACATCCTTTCCCACCACCTAATCCTAATGAGGACCCCTTGACACTGGGTCCTTCTCTAACAGATTGGACCATGGTTATTTCAGCGACTTCTGCAAATGCAGCAATGGAGGTCCCTACGAAATTTTGCAAAACATGCAACATTTGGCGACCACCACGAACGCATCATTGCAGAACATGTGACAACTGTATTGAAACACAAGATCATCATTGTGTGTGGCTAAACAATTGTGTCGGCCGTCGCAATTACAGACAGTTCTTCGCGTTCATCTTTTCCGGGTGGATTCTAGCCGCAATGCTTATCGGATTCAGTCTAGGGCATATTTTTGCTTGGAAACATAAATATGGCGGCGACTTTATACATGCTGTTCGTGGAACGCGCGGAGTTCCCCTTGCCATGGCTATTTATGGCGTAATTGCTGGTGCTTACCCTCTCGCCTTGACAGCTTACCACCTAGGTCTGATCGGCTCGGCACAAACAACGAGGGAATACTTGCAGTCCCGCAGATTCCAAAAGAAGGATCGACATCGACCATTTACGCAGGGTAACATCATCAAGAACTGGATTGTTATGCTTAACCGCCCACGACCGCCCACTTATTTGAACTTTAAGAAGCAGTACGAGGAAGGAGATCAGCGATATGGTGAGCGCAAGAGCAAAAAGTCCGCTGCATCCTCGAAAGAGGGACAGCGGGGAAGCAATGGAATGGAGATGCAGAGCATGACACAAGTTCAGTCACCTGACGCAAGAGCCGCGTAGTCTGCTGTTCACACACAAGGGGTCAAAAAAGGTGCGGATTGTGGAATAACGTCTTGAAGCTCACTTATTCCTTCTCGATGATACAAGTGTTCTTCATTGTGCTGCTGCTATTTAGCGAGTACGCTGTTTGAGAAAGAGCTTCCTTTCTAGTAATACACTATCTGTTCCACCCCCTTCCCCCTGTTCCCGGACGCCCGTACCATGTCTTTTGGTTATCTTGAAGTAGTCTTGCGACATCGACCTCGAAAGTACTCGGAGAGTGTCGTCGAAAAAGAGCTTTGATAAGACCCAAAGGTCGTAACTGCAGAAGGAAAGACATCGACGTGGGCTAATCATACAGCTCAACGATCTCCCGGTCCTCCATGCCGAGGTCTGCAGGCGTGGCTCCCCAGCCGATCAACGCGCCGTCGTACATGAATTTTGTGGTGTAAACATCGTGACCCAAATCCCTGCATGCTGAGACCATGACGACGACCATGCTCTGGAACATCCTCACGACCCAAGTGCCCTCGCAACCATGGCGGTCTCGCACCCGGACCACGACCTCGCCCTGTCGGGCGACGGGCCCTTCGACTCGGCGCAAGGTTTTGCCCGCTATCTCGGGCTGGTACCACGAGGCCGGCATGACGACGGGGTTATCTTCAATCAAGGCGGACGCCCAGGCCGGCTGGTAGTAGTCTTTGAGAGCTTGGAATTTATCGGGGCACCAGAAGGCCAGCTTGGCCATCAGCCGTCTGTCGGCGGGCTTTGTCGACTTAGCCAGAGCTACGGCGTCAACTTCCCCGTTTCTCAGTCGCTGTTTTTCTGCATTCGTGTAGTACATCCCCCGAGGAACTGGTGGCGGTGGAGGGATCGACCAGGGGGGAGGCTGTCGCTGTGACGGTGCAGTGGGAGCAGTAGCTGCTGCTGCTGGTGGAGGTGGTGGTGGCGGCGGTGGAGGAGGCGCCTGGTCTTGTGCTAGTTCAGGCACAGGTAAATACTCCACCGCGTAAAGCTGACCATTCTCGTCTCGATATATTTCTCCAGGGTTCAGATTGAAGGTGCTCATAACGGTGACGAAGTATCAATTCGTCTGTGTTTGGTTGTGTGTGCATGTGAGAGTGCTTTGAACCTGCAATGGAAAGTCTTGGAAGTGGAAAGGTGAGAGGAAGAGGAAGTTCAGTTGCGCGAAGAACGAGCAAAGAATCTTGTCGACCTCTTACACAATGGCTTAGACAAATATTGCCGTGATCTATTCACGCCTCGATACCTAACCTCCCTGGTGGCGTTGCCAGTTTGAAGCTCCAATGTATCTAATGGCATAGTCCAAGTCCGGGGGCTACTTTGCATGGTACAATATTTTCAGCTTTGAAAACTCATTAAAGGGACGATGAAGTCGTCGACTGACGTGGTCTTTCTTCCAAGAGGTTGAAGGACTTGGATCTTACAAGTCACGGGTTGGTCTCCTAGATATCAGGAGTTCAAGTCCCATTCGCGTCTGGGAGAGGCTTAGCCTCATGGCGACAAATGCTCAACAGCGTGAAAACAAGCTAAGAGGTACTTGAGCATGTTTAGAAAAGGTCTTTTGACGGTGCTGCATTGTTTTGCATTCCGTAGAAACCGTAGACTGCCCCTTTGTTCGAGCGAGATATGGACAGAGTGCCGTTCCATTCGATCCAATAGCGGTAATACACAATTCTTGAGTGATCCATGATCCTGCTGTAGAGCCCATACTGATCGTGAAGGTTGGACATCGTTTACTTTATGTTATTTGACCCCGCCTTGCTCTCCTGGTGGTCGTGGGACGTTGTAAATGCTAGTGGTTGATTGGGTGCCACGGCTAGGAGCGTAGCCTCCCGCGTCCCGGAAGCTGTTTATGTTAAGTTAGCACTATCGTCAACCACCTCCTTTCACCTCATGAACCCTAGGCACGATCTACTAGCCCTCCTGAGGATGGTAAAGATTTGCTGACGCTCTCCACGGCAACATACTCACCTTTTCTTCCTCAATTGTGATTGTACGCACTACTATATAGCCGCGGCCCAACCTCCCGACGCGCTATTAATCGCGAACCTTCGTCCCAAGCAGATCGACAGCCCTTGAACGACGACCTCGAAATCGTCACCATGAATCGAGGAAGCTCTTCAGACTCGGAGGATAGTATACTCTCGCACATCACAGTCGTGGCACGCGACAGCCCACCTCCTCCACCTGCCGGCCAGTTCACTACTTCCAGGAGTAGCGTCGGCGCGTCTTCACTGCAATCAACACCTCCTACCAGCTTGGACGGTCTGAGCGGAGAGGTAGACGCGTCAAAGAGAGGTAATGGGCGCCGACTCTCGCGTTCCAGGTCATCACTTTCTACGCTCGCGTCGGAGACCAGCGACAATGCATCGTCCTCCAAACACAAGCTTACCCGTAGCAAGGAGGATCTGAACAGCAAGGCCAGCAGTCGCGCTGTGTCTGGTGCTACGTTGGTAGAAGGAAACATGAACGGGGCCCAGATCAGACTGCGCAAGGCGCTGGACATAGACATGAAATGGGATATGGCAGACGAGCCTGGAGAAGAGAACGTTGGTGATGGCAGCGTTCGGAGACGCGCGTCAAGACGGCTTCATAGCACTACAGGCACCAACGAGAGACTCGGAACTCCGGGTACAACAAAGAGTTCCCTAGGGAAGAGAGTGCGTGACGTTGCGGGGGCGGTTAAGGACAAGGCTTCGTCAATAGCCGCAAGGGCGACGCAAGCGCAAGCGTCGCATACTCCGTCAAAACGACTCAAACGCGAAACTGGTGGTGGGATGTTTGCCATTATTCGCAAGAGCGCGCCCAAGCAAGAGAAACGGGAAGAGACAGCTGAACCTGAAGAACCGCCCAAGCCATCACGGCCGCCTCGGATTACGAAAGTATACCAAACAAAGGGGCTTTATGCAGGTCAGACAAGGAGCTTCAAGCTGACGGTAAAGGAAGGCACGAGCAAGAAGAAGCAATCGCAACTGGAAGCGGAAGCGATTGTCAAGGAGAACTCAGTTCTGCCATTGCCGATGTTTGGCACATTTAAGCGCTTGACCGTAGATGACACGCAGTTCTTCGCTCCGTATAAGCTTCCAGCCGATGTTTTGAATCCCCTCAGAAAAGAGCAGAACCCCAAAGATTGGAATAAGCTCAGCAAAAGTAAGTATCTGTGAATGAGACCGTGTCGCCAATCGCTAACGTTCACAAGACCGCTTCATTGGAGATGCAGCAGCGACGTGGAGCACCAAAGCCTGGAAGAAGCTTGATCATTCTGTTTGCCTGTGCGAGGACAAGTGTGATGAGGGCTGCATCAACAGAGAAATGTCCTACGAATGCAATGCACAGATTTGTAACCGAGGCGAAGATTGTGGCAATCGACCCTTTGCTGAGCTCGCGTTCCGTTATAAAAATAAGAACTTCATGCGTCTTCGAGAGGGGGAGAAGGCCGAGGCTAATCTCTGGGGTGAAGGAATCGAGATCATTAAGACCGAAGGTAGAGGTTTTGGAGTTCGAGCCATGAGACCTTTCAAGCCAAACCAGATCATCGTTGAGTATTGCGGAGAGATTATCACGCAAGAAGAGGCTGATCGACGTATGAACGAGGACTACAAAGACAAACAGGTGTGACATGATATTCATTCGACCTGAACGTAGCGAAAGATATTAGGAAAACTGACAGGAAACAGGATTTCTATCTCATGGACTTCCACGGTGGCATGATCATTGACGCAACCCGAGGATCCATATGCCGCTTTGTCAACCACTCCTGTGATCCGAATTGCCGTGTTGAAAAGTGGATTGTTAACGGGGAGCCGCGCATGGCTCTCTTCGCGGGCCGGGATGGTATTATGACTGGCGAAGAGCTGACATACGATTACAATTTTGAGTATTTCTTCCTATGCTCTTCCTACGATAGCCGTTTGCTTACTATCGTCAGGGTTTTTTCCAAGAATAGCACTCAGAAATGCCTTTGTGGCTCGTCCAACTGCCGTGGAGTATTGGGCCCAAAGTCGAAGTCCCAACCAAGCAAAAGCAAGCAGCTTGCCGGAGCTGTCAAGGGCGTGATCCATGGTGTGAAACGCAAAGTTGAGAAGATGATTCATGGTGATAATGATTCAGCTTCTCCGAAGAAGCGCGTAAAGATTGGCCCCAAGGAAGGAATCAAGAAAATGAAGAAGCAGATCCGCGGCTCCGCACCGGCAGTCCCAGCTGTAGACGCAAATGCTGCGCAATCTCGCAAGGAAGAGCGCGCCCAACGTGAAGCAAAGCGTGCTGCCGAACGAGCTGCTCGTGAAAAGGCCGACCGATTGTTAAAAGCGGCTCAGGGCGACTCTAATAACGAGAAGGGCGGAAAGCACAAGATCACACGTCGTCGCTCTACGTCTGCGACCATCTCCGTGTCTGACCTGCCAAAGAAGTCTCGAAAAACCGCCACGCCAAAACGCTTGAGTATGTCGCCAGCCAAGAGGATGTCGAGTGTCAAAAGTCGGGTGAACGACAAGCTCAAGTCCGCCGCATCTCGCTCACCGGCCCCGCGTAACATATCTCAAACGCCACTTCTCAAGTCCTCCACCTCTTCAGCTTCTGGGGATCAAAAGGCCATGCGCCAGTCTCGCCTCTCCTTCGGTCCGGTCGGTATGAGCTTCAACGTCTCCCCTACGAAGCTTGGAAAGGGAGGTCTCGACAATCAGGAAGCTGGACAAGGTGGAGAACGCGTTCTAGCAATTCCAAAGCGCGGCTCGAGCTTGAAGGCTCGCACTGGGAACGCGCGTTCAGGCACGGCAAAGTCACTTGCAAAAGGGGTGACCAAGGTGACGACAGCTGCAAAGGTTGGCCTAAAGGGCGACGACGCTATTCGCAAGACCATTCGCACCGTTTCTGGTGCGGAGTAAGCGCCTCATCAGGAGTCTGTTGACTTGACGTGTGCGATTGACCGCATACCAAACTGTCAAGTTGCACGCATGTTCGGCTTTTTTTTTTTTTCGCATGTTGTCCCGCTGTTCAAAGCATGACTTGGTCACTTTCTCAACTGCATCGTCTTGAAGGAGCAGCATGACTGGCTGGAGATATATACGCATATATGTACTTGGGGTGCAGCATCTTTTTTTTTAGCGATGGAGTTCACAATTGTATTACGGTGCCTAGCTCTGCATTGCTGTTTTCCCGAAAAGCCAGGCGATACATGTCGTTGACGGCTAAGTATACACAGGTATTTCACTATTCTTCAATGCGCAATATCTCATACGGTTTGGTTACAGGGATATGTTATACAAAAAAAAAAAAAGTGCAGCACGCCATCAATCCCTCAGTCACCTGCATATCCACTGTACTTAGTATCCATATTGCCCCCGTAGGAAATGCATGTTTGCTCCTCCTTTTTCACTTCTCATCTCAACATCCGTGGTCGGACCCCTCGACGCAGAGTTCAACTGGTGCACGTTTCGACCCCAAATCCGACCACCAAATCTCTTGGTCGTCGAAGATTCCAAATGCCGACCGTTGGGGATCTCGACAGGCAAACGGGCCACCTGCTGTCCATGCGCACCGACAGCCTGAAGAACGAACGTGGCAAGCTGATCTTGAAGATCGTGGGAGAGGTCGAGCCCATGAGCATCGTAGCCAGCGCGGATTTTCTGCGATGACCGCCTCTCTCTCTCTCTCTCGCCTTCACAGGCACAGAAAGGCGTCAATACATAAGCCAAAAGAAAAGAGAAGAGCCTTCATTACTGGATCACGCGGAGCAATGGCCAAAGTCGTCCTGGTCGAGGGGGGGGGGGGGGGGGGGGGGGGGGGAGCTCGTCCGCCGCAAAAACACGTATTACGGGCGGTTCGCTGGAAGATGGGGGGGAAAGGGGGGGGGGTTGAATTTTTTTTTTTTAACAAGAAAATCATGGGATCGTCGACTAGGAGATCATGTCAGTTGTTGCGATAGAAGTATATATTCTCATATATTTGATACCCCTTGGTCATGACGAAGGTACATACATCCGACCGGATGGCTAAGTTACTACTTTTTCTCCTGTTCCAGGTGGAATCCACGAGCGCGAACCTGCGAGCGCCCGTCATGGAGTCACCCATCTGCCTTCCAGACGTTCTAAGCCAGTCCCTGATTCTTGGGCCAGACGCTGGATCCGGGCAACCACTGGGTTCGACGCGCGTCTCTACTGTGGTGATATGCCAGCAGTATATGCGACAGACGGCCAAAGCCGGTGACATTTTCCCCTTCTCCTGCGACGCCGTTGAACCCTTGATGCTTTCATCCTGCGCATCTCGCGCTAAGCTGGGTATCATAACTATTCTCGTAACCAAACCAAAAAGAAAAAGCAATGCCCTTGTGTTTCCCCAAGCCAATCAAGTACCCATCTCTGTGCATATCTACAAGTTCTTTCAAAGCACGTGCTATGTATATGTCCCCAAAGTCATCCAAGATGCATTTGTGAGATACTGTCGCCGATCACGAAGTGAAGTCACACGGAGTACTCAGGACTGACAATAATAAACGAGACATGAACACGTCGGTGATCTGGTACAAATACTAGGGCCTGGCACGTCGGTGACGACCACGAATTGGCTTTGATGGTGGAGGCGGTACTGCGTGATAGGTTTTGCGACGGCCGTAGTCGATGTCCTGCGTTGGTGGCGGTGGCGGTGGTGGTGGAGGAGGAGGCGGTGGCGGAGCAGGCTGGCCATGAGAATTCTGCTGTGGGGTGTAGTGGTATGCACCCTTACTGTCATAGTAGCCCTGGCCACGGGAGAAACTATGTGCGCCGTATCCGTCGTCACGTTGTCGGGGCGAGTTGTAGCTGCGCTGTGCAGGCGATACCGAGCGCCGACGAGAAGGGGGCGTTGGCCGTGGCGGCAGAGGATGCACGCTGCCACGATACTGAACGTAGCCGTCGTTGCCGCGTTTCGCGGGACGATCTGGGAGCGAAAAATGATGAGTATTCACGTGTGCCTGCATATTGGAGCTTGCTTTGTGTACTTGTAAAGGTTGTTGCTGGACGTGAGAGAGCTGCGGCGAACTCCCCGAGGAAAGACAAGATGTAGGAGGTAGAGCTACAATTTGCTGGTCGATACACGTTTGCTGACGGACTCTGCAAGCCTTTGGAGCAAATGAGAAATTTTGATGCTTACTATGCTGTTGAACAGGCGGCTGACCGTATGCAGCCATGTAGTTTTCGATCTGTGTATCTTGTAAAGCCTCTTGGATGGCGAAGCCGCTTCCATTTGTCTGATATTTGCGCGCTGATTCGATGGTCTCGCCGAGCAGGTTCGTGATAGGAGCTGAAGAATCAATGAACTTTTGAGCTTCCTTTGAGGAGAAGATGTCAAAGTGTGATTTTGGCTTCTCACGTGGTTCCAGGCAGTCGCCTCCCCAATGGCCTACGAATGTCAGCCCCGGTCTAACTCATCGGCTTTTAGATATGGCAAACCTCTTTCACCGCAGTTGTAGCAAAAGATGCTCAAGAAGGGCCCCTTCTTTAGCTGGGGCATCTGCTCCGGAATGATGGCACGCCAGATGTGCGAGCAGTCATCTTCGGCATGCGTGTCCTCTCCGCAGCGATCGCAATGGAACCCGTCTGCGGCGGTACGGTGCAGTTTCGAAGGGCAGTTTTCAATGGAGTGACCTTTCTCGTAGCATTTCTTGCATAGCCTCGCCTTTAGACATGCTCTCGAAGTGTGCGTATCCTTCTCGCCACAATGCTCGCATACTCGGTCGGGACAGTCACTCCACAGGTGATCGCGCTGCAGGCACAAGATGCAGCCAAAAATCGGGATGCCCTCTTCGACTTCCCCCAAGTAACGGATCTGGTACTTCATCTCTTCACGGTGCTCCATCTGCGAAAGGCTCTCGGCGTTGATGACAGCCTCTTTCCTGTCGGACATGGGCTTTGGCAGCTGATCGGCTGAATGCAGCGAAATATTATTTGACTCCGGCGGCTGATGGAAGACCGACGCATCAGGCTCAGTCGGCTGAATTGTGCTGTGGCTGCCTGCGTACTGGTGTGCGTGCAACTCTTGGTAGGTCGCTGCGTTCTGAGCCAATAGACTGTGTAAGGTGACGCTTCTTGTCCCGTTGGTGACAGGAGGATCTTGCACCTTGGTTGAGGGTAGATAATTGATTCGCTTTTTGAGAGCAGAAATCGAGCTAGCAAGAGACATCAGAGCAGGATATCTGCCATTCCCCGATATGTCTTGAGCACCGCGTGGCGGAAGAGCCTGGGCGGGATCGATGTTCTTTGCAATAGCTCGGTACGACTTCCAGCCTTGCAGCTGAACCTTGAATACAACGTCAGGGTGCTTGATAGAGTTCAATGTTTTCGAAAGGCCTTCAGTCGCCAAACGTGCTTCTTCGGCCGTGGTGAAGATGCAGAACATGAACCACGTCCTCAGTCCAGTGTGCTCGGACTGGGCAATCCATGCAGACTGCATCAGCGGCGACTCTATGACAGCCTGGGCTATTTTCTTGCGGGTCTTTGCTTCAATGACCATTGCGTTCGCCAGCCGCTGTTCTTCAGGCGTTGCTCCTAGATCTACCCCTATCATGCTACAGGACGTCAACGCTATGCAACAGCAATTTAAGCAAAGGAATATAAAACCCACATCGCGCGCTGGTCTGTAAAAGCCTGCTCAATGCCGGTCAGAAGAGAAGTGAACTCATCACCGCCGGGCTGCTTCGTTCGCGTCTTCTGTGAGGAAGAAAGGTCCTCCTTAGGCTCCGAGTCGTCACTGATCACGACAAGTTTCTTGTTGTCTGTGACGACCGGAGTTCGTGCACCGTGTGCCTGGCCCATTTTTGCGCCCTTCGGCTTAGGCCTGGCCTGAGCCAGAGCCCTCGTAAGTCTGTGTTCTTGGTCAATCAAAAGAGCCCGCGCCAACAAGGAGAACGAGCATATCATCAAAACAACGAGAGCAGTGACGGCGACTGACATCTCGCGACGAAGCTCAAAGACTCAGTTGAATCCGACTTCAAAACACGTCTCGAAAACTCAAAAAAAAAAAACGCAGCCTACCTCTTTGGTTTGGCGACTGGTGGCGGTTTGGTCTTCGACTTCTTCGCCTGCGCGCCTCCGCCGCCAGGCTTGCTCTTCTTCGTCCTGGTCATAGCCAGAGGATAGCTGAGGTTCTTCTCTCGCCTGCTCGGTGCTCTCCGAACCAAAGGGGAATGAAACAGATTGACCCTCGACGCCCTGGAAGACTTTCGCAGTGTCGCGTTGGTGGCGCCTCTCGATTACCAAACGCGGTTTAGTCGACGGGATCGCCCCACCAAAAAGTTCCTGAAGTACTCCAACCTTTTTTTTTTTTTTCGAGGAACGACGGTTGCAATCGCCAATTGTCGTCGAGGAAGACGGCAGAAGCGAGCGATCCAGGCCCCGAGATTCTTTCGGGCTGCGCCGGGAACGAGATGTCGTCCGAAGACGAGGCGGCGCCAAAAGTCGCAAAGAAGCACAAGCCCAAGAAGCAAAAGTCGAAGCCTGAAGATACAGTAGTAGCAGCAGCAGCAGCAGAGGTCGAAGACCATGTGCCGGCCAGCGTTGAAGAGGCCGAACCGGACGAGAAGCAGAAAAAGAAGAAGGACAAGAAGAGGAAGAGAGAGGCGATACCCGAGGAGCTAGAGATCGACGTGTCGCTGCCGGAGCCGCTGTCGAAGAAAGAGCGACGCAAGGCGAAGAAGGCCAAGACGACGGAAGGGCAAGGGGAGAGCGAGACGTCGCCGGCGACGAACGGCGAAGCAAGCGTCGAAAGGCGGGCCCCGAGCGGCGCGAAAGCGGGCGGCGGCGCGCTCAAGGAAGAGCACAAGGAGCGCCGCACGGAGCACAGCATCTGGATCGGCAACCTGCCGTGGACGGCGACGAGGCAGGACCTGCGCGACTTCCTGTGCGACCAGGCCTCGATCCGGCCGTCGCAGATCGTCCGGCTGCACATGCCCGCGCCGGACAAAAAGGTCGCGCTGGACACGCGGGGACGTCCCCCGTTCGCAAACCGCGGCTTCGCCTACGTCGACTTCGACGGGCCCGAGGCCTTGTTCGCGGCGCTGCAGCTGACCGAGACGCCCTTCTATCGCTCGGGAAGGAACGTGCTCATCAAGGACGCAAAGAGCTTCGAAGGCCGGCCAGAAGAGCATACCGCCGCCGCCGCTGCTGCAGCGGGATCAACGACGGCCGTAGGATCCAAGGCCAAGGGCCCGGCCGGCAACCCGCAGAAGCCGCCGTCGAAGAGGGTGTTCGTCGGCAACCTAGCGTTCGAGATCACCAAGGAGGACCTGGAGCAGCACTTTGCTCAGTGCGGGCCCGTGGAGAACGTCCACATGGCCACGTTCGAGGACAGCGGCAAGTGCAAGGGCTATGCGTGGGTGACGTTCGCCACGCTGGAGGCGGCCGAAGCGGCCGTGCGAGGTTGGATCTTCAAGGAACCCGAGGACGGCGACGAGAACGAAGTCAACGGCGACGATCACGCGGACGACGCAGACGTCAAGGCCAAGAGTAAGAAGAAGGGCCGCAAGTGGTTTGTCAACCGGCTCCTCGGCAGAGAGATCAAACGCGAGTACGCAGAGGACGCATCGGTCAGGTATAAGAAGCGGTTCGGAGGAGCCGAGAAGCGACGACAGGATCTTACGGACGCTCCTATCACGGAAGTCGCCGACGGTTCCTCGAATGCGCAGGCGACGCTCAGGAGCAGCCATGACCGACGGCGGGAGCAGCGGAAAGCTCAGAAGCCCAAGGTCGACGCTAGAACCGTCGCGCCTGGTGCTGCTTTAGCTCGCGCGCAGCGCACGACAGGTGCTATTACAGAAGCTAAAGGCACGAAGATTACGTTTGACTAAGGACTGCGCAGTCGAAGGGTAGGTTTTGCAGGTCGTGATGTCATACCGGAAGTAATTACCTAGCATAGCTACAACGGAGAGCGAAACCTAGGAAAAAAAAAAAAAGAAGATCGTGTTGTAGCAATGAGACAAGTTCGAAGAATTCATACTTTGCCAGACAATCAAGGACCAACTCCCACGCCCTTACTTCCCACCGCCTCCAAACGAGTGTCCTAAAGTCGGGTCAAATTCAAGCAAAGACGTTAGAGGAGATTAGCTTATTGAAGCACACGTATACGCCACCAACCACGCCGGCCAATTCCAATTTTGCGCAAGGTTTGTGAGAGAAATAGCTGAGCAGGTATGGGTGGTACCCGCTGGTCGTATTGCCAGCCTTGTTTTTTTCTTGATCTATTATGACTGCGGGTTTTCTTTTTTTTTTTTGGTTGCGATGTCCTAGCACCGTCGACGAGGATGGCTCGTCCTCTATGCAGGGCTTTCCTCATCGCTAGCATCTAGGATGTCGTACTCTTCATCGGTCATAAAGCCGTCCTCATCACTAGTCTCGACAAGGCTCACACTCTCTGCATCTTCAAAGATCTCGAGGTCAGACTTGTCGCTCTTCGGTGGCTGGGGCAGAGGTGCACTCTCAGTCTTCGAGACGGGAGAGGAGACGTCGTGCACGCTAGACACGGGCGACTCCTTGTCAAGTTTTGGGAAGATCATGGCGTTTTTATCCTTGCCTTTGGTCTCTTCCTCCTCAACCGCTTCTACAGAAACCGGTCTGACCTCGGCCACAACCTCGACAGGAGATGGAGCCTTTTCCGCCACGGCGCGGGCATTCAACAGGCGCCTGTTGTTCTCCAACTCGAGCATGGCCATCTGGTTGAATGAGTCCTGCGCCGGGGGGCTCATCTTAGTTTCGTTGCGTGCCTTGTTTTCCAGCTCAAGCCGTCTCATCTTCTGTTGCAATAGGAGCTGCTCCTGTGCTTGACGTGTAGCCGCAACCTTGGCCTTCATCTCGGCGTCCCGATTCATCAACATGCGCTTTCTGATTTGTTGCTCTTGTAGCATGAGCTGCAGCTGATGATCCTGGACGGATCTGACGAATCCTTGAGCCGTCGTCGCCGATGGGCCAGCTTGAGCAGGTGGAGAGAGTGGAGCAGGAAGCTCGGAAGCTGGCTGTGATTGGGGTGGAGAGACTGGAGCTCTAGCGGCTTGCGCGGCATCTATGGCAGCCTTGGCAGCGGCCGTACGAGCTCTGTGCTGTATCTCAACGGCGCGAATCTCAGTCGAAAGCTTTTGAAGCATCTCGGCCCGGTGAGCCTTTGCCCGAGCATCAGCGATCTGCTTAGCTTCATGCTCGGCCTTGATCTTCTCTTCTTCAACCCGCTGCCTCTCCAAGGCCTGTGCGCGAAGGAAGCGATGCTGCAGCGCTTGCTGGAGGAACGTGTCATGCCACTCACCTGGCCGAGGCTGAACGAGCTGTGGCGGAGACACGACCTGAGGCAGGGAACTTGGTTCTTGCTGTGACGGGAGGCCGACCGTGACATGACACCAGAGACGATGGCCAAAAGCTTGGCCGTCCGGGGTCTTCAGACGCCAGTAGGATATCTTTGTGCCTGGAGTCTGCGGAGCTTTGAGGACAACACGGAATGCGCTCTCTTCACCAACCTCGACTGGACGGTCGAGCACGTTCGACTCGGTAGCCACGTTCTCGAGCATGTTATCACCGCCCGTGTAACGAACGCTGCAGCCAGCCGGCCAGGCAGCCTGGCCAGAGTTGCGGAGTGTCCAGACTTGGGTGAAGACGGAGTTTGCACCGATCAACGTACCGTCAGGAACGGTCTCTCGGACGAAGACGGCATTCAGCTTGTTGACGTCTACAGGACGGGCCTTCTCCTCGAGCGGTGAGGACAACAGATCTTGGACCTTGATTTTTTCTTCGATGGGCTCCGCAAGAAGGTCCTTGATCTCGATCTTCTCCTTGGAAGGCCTGTGCTCGGGAGTGTCCGCTGGCTTAACGTCGATGATGGTCTGCACCTGAGTAGCAGCATTGGCTGGGGCCTTGCTTGGCTCCGCTCGTGGCTCGGGGCGGTCGCCCTTGGGTGCCAGGCTGCGTCCGTATTGGTCCTCGTGGACGGTCGTGATGGTAGCATTACGAACGGGGGTCTTGAATTGGATCAGCGGATGAGTGTGGTTGTGCTTGTTGCTGGGATGTGCCTCGCAGCTGGCACAGAAGTCAGTGTCATGGCAGATGGCACACTTGAAGCGAGTGCCTTCGATATAGACACTCTTGTTCTCGCAGAGAGGCCCGTCGCAATAGATACCGACATGGCGAACCTTGTGGTAGCGTGGAGTGGGGATTGGCTCGTATAGGGGGGCAAAACGATGCCCTGGATGAATGTAGCTCGCGTTCTTCATGCACTCGGAGCAGAAGTCCCAATCAGGGCAGTTGAGGCACTTGTGCCGGACACCAAAGATTGGCTGCAGAATGTCAGCGGATGAGTCGTTGCTACGGGCAAACGCCGGAGAAACTTGCCTTGTCGCAGCCATCACACAGAGCGGCATGCTTGATGTTTCGGCCTGGGGCACAGAGGAACTCTGCCACCGGGGAGAGAGAGACGCCCTCGCCAACGGCCTTGAACTGATGCGCGGGGTGGTGGCCATGATTATTAGCCTCGTGGCACGGGATGCACAGGTCATAGTCTGGGCAGTCGAGACAAGTGACGAAGCGGTTCTCTTGATCCTCTGCGCGAAGGTTAGCTTTTCGTTGGTGTAAGCCTAGAACCTGTTTTCATTTAGTACCTTTGATACAGCAGTTGCACGTGCGCGTTGCCTCGTGAACGGGCTCCTCAGCCTCAGCTTCCGGTTCGGCTTCCGGTTCTGGCTTCGCCTTCTCCTTCTCCTCCTCCTCCTCCTCCTCCTCCTCCACGTGTTCGGTATATGCGCCGGGCATCTCCGGAAGCTCTGCTTGCTTGGGTTGCTTGGGCGAAAGGCGCTCCGTAGTGCTGCTCACAACTTGGCCGTTCCTGACAAAACGCTTGACCAGCCAATGGTTTTCGTCCGGACAGTGAATGCCACTCTTGACGCAGGCTTCGCAGAGGTCGTAATCGCCATCGTCGCAGATGTTGCAGTGGTAATGGGCGTCGGCCATGGGCTTGTCGCATGCATTGCAGAACACAGACCAGGAGCAGTTGTTGGTGGCCGGCACGACTGGCTCCTTGACGCGGAGGGCAAGTTCGCGCTGACGCGAGAGGTTGGCAAGCTCAGCGAAGAACGCCTCGCGGCTCAGCCTGGTCGAGATGCGCTTGGGTGCCGGCTGAGCTGGGGCGTCGGCCGTGGAAGGCTCAGCACTTCCGTTTGCGATCGGAATCAGCGATTCAGCCGAGCCAGCAGTGCCAGACGTGTTCGGCTCGGTCTTGATGCTGTTGAGGGTCGTGTCGGAGCCAAGCCCGTCGAGCTCTGGGAAGGCCGAGGAGAAAGTCCCAGGCAGGCCAATGGGCTTGAACGGTGGGATGGAGCTTTCGGGGTTTGCAGCGTTCGGGAAGGTGACTCTGAGACGAAGCTTGAGCTTCGCCTTGGCAGCTCTGAAGAGGGTCTTGTACACGTGGTGGTTGTTGGGATCGAGGACAACGAAGGAAGCGGCCGAGTCGGAGAAGCGTTCGAAGATGGCCGGCTCGTTCTCTGGAATGCCGAGGAGCACTCGAAGCTTTTGTCTTCAGGTTAGCACATTGATCGCAACACGCTGTGCAGGTCAAGGGTTGCTGATGCGGGAAGGTGGCGGGAGGTCTGGCAAGGGCGGCCAACGGAGGGGAGCGGCGACGGAGACCTCCCGCGGAGCACAGGCAGCGCTTGCGGGCGGTTGTGCAGCTTCGGTCCGGTAGCAGCTCGCAAGACGGGCGGTCGAGTGCCACAGCAGCCGGCGAGGACACGATCACGACGTCGCAGCAGCAGATGGGAGTACGTACCCTGCCCGGCAGCACCTGGGCGTTCAGATCCCCGAGCGGGATCTTGAACTTCCTTGTCGTGCTCTGCATCGACACCCTCACGCTGATGGGTGTCTCCATGTTGACCTGAGGCGTAGCGCTGGCCATGATTGCAAAGGCAGCTCAACGCTTGTGCGCTTTGTGGGTGTTGGGAGTGGAGGAAGGGCGAGGGTGAAGCTGTGGTGTGGTAGCCTAGCTGGCAAGGCGGCGATGGTACGTCAGCGGGTTAGGGGCGGAGATAGCAGGCGATCAGGCCGAAGGCTGCCACGGCGGCATTCCAGAAGCGAGGGCGGGCAGAGGGCGGCGACGAGAAGAGGGAACAGCGAAAAAGGCGGCGGCGAGCGACGGGGAGATTTGGAGGGGCAGGTTCTTTGAGGGGACGGAGAGAAGAGAGGGAGAGAGGAGAGAGAGAGAGGGAGCGAGCAGGAGCGAGCAGAGAGGAGAAGAGGAGGGTGACAGACGCCGGTCAGCCAGCGAGGGACCTCAGGCCCGCTCGTTGGTGGGCGCGCGTGAGCCTGCGGGCGGCGGGTTTGGGACTGAGCCCAGGCGGGACTTGCTGGCGGGGCCGGCCTGGGCGGGCGAGCCAGCACTCGCCGTGCTTGACCGGTCACGTGTCGCCAGGCTCCTGCCCACCGGCCGCGGCAGTCCCACGCCGTTCGTCACTCGCGCCGGAGCCGTCAGACCTTCGTGTTAAGCACACTGATGATATTGCATTTGGCTCAGGAACCGAGCAAGCCCTCTATCGACCGGTAATGCTACCTAGTAAACCCAGCTCCGTCACTCGCAAAAGCCTGTGCCGTACCCCTCCACATGTCCTTGCATCCATACTCACACATGCACACACACACACACACACACTCTCTCTCTCTCTCTCAACAAACACACACGCACTCTCTCTTCCTCTTCCTCTTCCTCTTCCTCTCCCTCCCTCCCTCCCTCCCTCTCTCTCTCTCTCTCTCTCTCTCTCGATCGCACGCACACACACGTACACAAGTTCTCTCTCTCTCTCTTCTCTCTCACGCACACACACACACACACACACTCTCTCTCTCTCTCTTTCCCTCTCTCTCTCTCTCCCTCCCTTTCTCCCTCTCGAATAATACCCCAAAACTTCTCTCGCGTCACTAAAACCACTCTCCCCGTAAAATCTCCCGAGTCGAGGTCCCAAAGTAAATGAGTCATAAATACAAATGGTGAAGAATGTTTTGTAGCGAGCACACCAGGCTGTGGTGACTAGCTCAAAGAGCTCTCGTGACGAAATGCAGATTCCAAAGCAGGTGTATCAGAAACCTCCCCTTTGTAACGCCGTTGCTTGTTTTTTAAATTAGAAATAGAGATAAAAAGAAACCCCCCCCCCCCCCAATGAGGTGGTCGCTCAAATGTCAACGTGCTTAGAGATAGTGTTGAAGCGCCAAGAAAAAAAAAGGCCAAATACCGCTTAAGAGGTTCGCACCATCCCTGGGACAGGTCGAAGAAAAAGGATATTCGTGTGGGCAGAAGTGGTGTGCCGCTGCCGCCAATTATTGCTGGGGATAGTAGACAGTGCCGTTCGGTACCGGATAGTAGAATCCGCTTCCGTCGGGAGCTGGCGTCATCATGCCTCCCATGCCAGGCATTGCGTAGCTTCCGTACTGTTGTCCATCCGTTGGCTGCATATACATCTGTGACGGGTCGTAGTAAAAGACCATACCGTTCTGCTCGAACTGTTGGACGCCTGGCTGACCTTGGGGCGGCTGTTGCATCGGCTGCGGAGCTCCCGCCGGGCCCGGAGCAATGGTCGGTACCAGGTAGCCACCTTGTTGTCCGTTCTGCATGACCATGGGCGCTATGACCGCGCCCGGCTGGTATTGCGCTTGCATAGGTGGATAAAAGTATCCAGCACCAGGCTGGAAGCCAGGCTGCTGGTACGGCTGGAAGGCTGGAGCGTGGATCGCACGTTCCGGGATGTTGGACAATGGAGTGCCTGCAGTCTGCGTCGGATACTGCGGCTGAGGGTAGTACCCCGACTGCGCAGACTGACCATTGGCACTTGCGACACCCGGAGGAAGCTGATGGGAGAACGGCTGGTCTTGCTGAGGAGGCGGCGGCGGCGGTTGGAAGTTCGAGGCAGGTGACTCGATACCAGCCACTGACATGGGCTTTTGAGGGCGAGGTTGATGCATCGGCATATTCGCAGGCCAGTTTTCGCGATACGCCGGCTTCTGCGGTCCCGACGGATAAGTCGTGGGGCCGTTCATAACTGGCGTTCCTTGACCTGACACGGCATGAGGAGTGCCTACAGCGGTCGAGTGGTGAGAACCTGGAGGCATTCGGACGACGGGCCGTACCGAGCCAGCTGGCGAGACCAACGTTTCTCTGAAGTCGCGACCGAATGACGAACGTCTGCTCATGGCGACGCTGGGGGAATACACACTTCCACCAAACACGCTCGTTCTCCTGCTCGAATATCCGCCCATCGAGCCCAGTTTTGACCTACCTCTGCCGAACCCCTGTTGATTAGGTCGCAGGGCTCTCGGTATGAAGATGAAGGAACGGTCAACGGCCGGGAATATGTAGCGTGGTGCTTTCTCAGGAAGCGAAATGCGAACGGGTTTGTCCCGTCGGAGAGGGGGTCGGTGATCCGGCAGTTTGGTGTATTGCCTGATGAGAGTGTTGCCATACGTAACAGCCTCCTTCATTCCCGGCAACAGAACGCGGATCTGTACATGTCCTAAATCTCGCGTTGTAGAGTAGTTCCGTACAGTGGTTTGGCCAACTGGAGCCGAGGAGGACGACACGGCTGGGGCAGCGGCCGTACTCGTCGATAGTTGTTGCTGCTGCGGTGGGTCTGCACGGGCATCTGGTGGATCTTCTAGCGTATCGTGGAGGTCGTGCGCCCATGATGATGGAGTTGCGTCAGGATCTTGAGGTCGTACGCTGAGACGGGTGTTAGCCTGGACATGTGGAGCAATCAGTAGATTCATCATACTTAGCCGGCGAGAAGGGACCGCCCACCATCGTGCCTCTGCCTCTTCCTCTACCTGCTAGCCTTGAGCCATTTTGTGCCTGTGTCGACCTCTGATCATGCATGAAGAACGCCCCTCGATTTGGAATAAAAGCAGGGTCCGCATCACGTTTCTTCTTATACTCCTCATGATCTCGTCGCCTCAGCTCTGCAAAGTTTTCTCGCCGTCTTAGGCTGCTCGGCGAACGCACAGGTACATCAGACGTGACCACTGCTGGTCCTGGCCGTCCTTCAAAGTCCAAGGCTTCGGTGTGAGATGCGTCATCCGAAATCTTCAAGCCGTTCATCATCGCCAACGTATCCTCGGATTGGGCGAATGAGCCCATATCCGCTGCCGGCGTCTTCGGCGCCACCGCTGTCCCCTCCTGCTCGCTGCCGTGCGACTTGACTGCACCGTTAGCCTTTGTAGCCTGATCTTCGGGGCTTAGCGAACCCGGGCGTTCGGCTTCGCTAAGGTCACTGTCGTCGGCGTCGCCATCATCATCGCTCGGCAGCGAGTTCTCGCTCTGGGAATCGTCTATGTGCTGCACTACAGGCTCGCTGTCTTCCGTATCTTCCTCCCTCTTTCTCCGTAGACGTCGTCGATTTTGCGAGGGCATATTGGAAACGAGAGAAAAGCGTGCGCAGAAAGGGAAAGCAGTAAGAGTACACCGGCGGCAGACCGCAAGGAAGGGTAAGAAGCAGCAAGATGCGGAAGCGGCAGTGACGAGCGTCGACGACAACTAAGCGGACGCACAGTCAAAGGGCAGGAGCGCGCTGTGGACGATGATTCCTTGAGGCTCTGTCTAGAAGAATCTCTACTTAATGTCAGTTAACACATCAGGCCACGGCAGCTCACGTCTTCATCTGCCTGGAGGTGTGGAAGGGCGGACGTTCGGCCGTACACGTGTCGTGCAGCGGAGCATACGTACAATAAAAAAAGAAAACAAACACAATTTACCCGTCGACGGGGTTGTGGTGGATGTCGAGAAGGAATGGGCACGGCTGAATAAGGTTTGACACTTTCTGTCGTTCAAGGCCACGAGCCACTGCTTGGCGCAAACGTGGAGATGCCATCACCACCACGTGAAGGAATGCGGATTGCAATGCGCTTTACGCCATCAAGGTTCGTCCAATCGTGCAGTCTATACTCATGCATGCAACAATTCTAACCAGGTAAATTCATATATATATTTTTGATTACTGACGCCGTGGCTTCATCCTCAGAGCTAATACGTGAGCAATTGGCCACAATCTTCGCCCATGCCGGAAAAAAAACGTCGAACAAGAATTTGGTCGAGTAGACGGAATGAGAACGCAAAAGATGAAGAGACTACCATCCGTGCAAGTATGGGTATCATCTGCAAACATGTACAACGCCTCGCCGCAAAAATGTATGAGCGAACATAAAAGCAAAGTCACAATTCGATGCTCAGCGAGCAACGACATCAACGGCACTCTGCTTGTTTCGTCTCCGCTCGTCAAGAGACTCGCCAATGTCCTTTCCAGCCTTCTTGGCCTCGAGAGCAATTTTGGCAGTATGGATGCTCTCTAGAGCCCCAGATTCATGCCACCTCTTCTCCGCAGCAGAGAAACCAAGTTTGCTCTTCAGCTTTAAAGGTCCGTCGCTACTATTCTTCTTCTTCTTATTCCTCTTCTCCTCCATGGCGTCAAGCAGTTCCATTATTACCGACCACCCCTCTTCGACTGTGTTTCGGACAGATTCGAGTGTTTCGCCATCAACGGGATGGAAGGTCCCCGGCTGTGTCTCATTGAATACTTCACGCGACGAGCTGGCCGTTGCTTCGAGAGCCCGGAGTTCCTTGCTTCCCTGGATCATGCGTGCCTTCCTTATGAATTTGGTAGGCTGTCTAGACTTGAGGATCTCCTTTTCGATCCCTTTCGCCGTGTATGCAATAGGCCCAAAAAGAGCAGCGATATTTTTAAGAAACAAACCCCCAATACCTATAGCTGTGCCTTCAAGAGCACCTACGACCCCGTGTTCCTTTGCTCCATGATACGGTTGGGTAACTACACCTGTCCACCCGTCCCATATTCCATAGAAAAGCTCGTCTCTACCAGCCCTTAGGCCACTCCGATAGCCCGATATGCGTCGTGGTTTTCGTACCGTCTCATCTCCGTAGAGTCGCGGCGCGTTGTGAAATCCCTGTGCAACTCCGACAATAATATTCATTGGCAGGTTTAAAAACGCCTTTCCAGCTTCCTTGAGTCCATGGCCAATCTGTTTCATTACTTCTTCAACCAACGGTTCCGAGGGATCCGTAGACAACGCGGACATGCTTGTAAGCTGTCTTTGGAGGCTAGTTTGTCCCTCTGGAGGGCGGGACGGCTTGCCCTTTGCGCTTTGGTAAGAAGGAATGGTATTGTCGTTGACGTCTTCCGATTTCCTCTTACGTCTCTCTAGCCTTCTCTTCTTTGCTTTGCGCTTCTTGCGACTTTTGATCGACTGTCCTGCATTAAGTGGTATTGATGCCGTTTCTTTCCCAATATCCAAGACAGTGGTGAGAATGGGACCAAGAACGCCAGTGATCGGCCCACCAGGACCCTCAAAATCGTTCCACTCGTTGTGACGGACAAGCCGCAAGTCCTGCCAACGAATCTTCTTCTGTTCAGCAAGTATTTCTGCCGCCAATGCGGACAGCTTAAGGTCTAAGTTCTTAATTTTCCAGACGGCAACTCTATTTTCAAGTATTGAGCATCGGATAGAACGACTCCCACTGAGATTCAGATGTTTGTGGAAGCTTTTGACTGCATTGAGAGCCCCGTCTCCTTCTGCAGCAATGCTCTCCGCAATCTTGAGCGCATTCTGCCGGGCTTCATCAGTAAGGCACTGCTTGATGCCTTCAGCGAGCTTCTCAGCCGTGAGACGCTTGTATGGTATACACTCGAATGCGCCAGCACGTTTCTTTGCGACCATTGCTCCCCAAAATGGCTGGTCTCCAAAGAACGGCACGATCATGGACGGTTTACCGCACTTCAGACCAATAGCGGTTGTACCAGCTCCACCATGATGAATGACCGCCTGTACTCGCGGAAAAAGCCAGTCGTGGGGAGTGTCTTCAAGCAAGAAGATGTTCTCAGGTATTTCCATCTCGCCACTTCCCAAACCACCCCAACCTTTCGACACCAAGGCTCTGACGCCAGCCAACTTCACCGCTTCGAAAATCATAGCTGTGAATGCATTCGGATCGTCGACCACTATGCTGCCGAAACCAATGTACACCGGTGGTTCGCCTGCGTCCAAGAATTTCTGCAGCGGCTCTGGCGGCTTATAAGACGAACCAAGATCGAGAAACACAAAGCCACATATGTCAATGTTGTCCCCGTAATCTTGGGGTTTCGGTACTAGCCCGGGAGACCACATGTACGTAAACGGAACAGCCATTCGATAGAGCTGGCCTGGCGCCCAAAGCGTGCTCACTTCCTCTAATCCCAGTGTATGCACTCGAAATCTGTTGATTAGGTCTCCCAATCCCTGCCAAGTCATGAGTTCGACCAGCGGGTAGCTCATGAAATTTGCGTAGGCGTGATCAACATTCGTGCTCTTTATGTTGGCCAACGGGTGCGGAAACTGTGTTGTTGGGGTGTACGGAAAAGTGAACATCAAATGCAGCGGCACGCCTAACCTTTCCGCAATGTGGATATGAGCAAAACTCGGGGGATTCGCAATGATCGCATCTGCAATAAATGGCTCGTATCTTCCCATCATTTTCATGTTGTCCTTATCGAGCTCATTGTCCGTAGCATTTATGCACGCTCGCCACATTCCCTCGAACATCTCCGCCATTTGAGCTCGACGGGCACTAATGTCTCCTGCGCGAATGGTCTCGATGGATGGAACCAGCCCTGGGTTCTTTACCATAAACGCCATCAAATCTGACGGATCACCTCCAACGGAGAAGAATTCAAGCTTGCCGTCCTTCTCTACGAAGTCTTTGAAAGCTGGATGTGTGGCGATTCGCACGCGATGTCCGTACTCTTGCTTTAGTATCTTGCCCACCTTTAAGAATGGTTGTATGTCGCCTCGAGAGCCGATAACGATGATTACTATGTTCAGCCGTGGTACGTCCCGATTATCATCCAGACCTTGCGGAAGTTTACCCTTCTTATCATCAGACTGTGTTGTCTTTGAGGATTTGCTCTCGTCCTGTCCATCGAGTTCTTGTCGATGGAAAAAATGGTGTCTAAAGCCGGTGCCTAGCGCCTTCGCCAAATACCCCGAGCTATCGGTCTCGTTGAGAGAGATATTGAGTCGTCCGTCACGTCTCCGAACTTTACCAATCGTGCTGAAATAATCATTGCCCAGTCTAAAGCGAGAATACCGTTCATATGCCCTATTCCGCGGCCGAGAGTCCCTCGCTGTCGCCGATGGCTTACAAGTCCCTTCATCCTCGGACGAATCGTTTGAAGGTTCTATTTCTGCATCTTCACCTTGCGTGTATACCAGATTTGATTGCCGAGCGGGCACCTGACTTGCGGTTGCGAAACGCTGAAGGCCTAAAAATGATGCTCGTGGTCCTTTGGGGGGAATATCTGATCCTGCTTTGGCACGCATTGACGGTCTGTCCACATGGTGTGAGGTTGACGGCGTTGTTTGAACCTTGACACGGTCAAATTCAAAGCAATGATTACGAAGAGAAAGGAGAAGTACTAACTGTATTCTGGCCACCGACACTTGGATCATGCACAGGATCGTCGGATGCTTGCGCATCAACGAGAGTCTCCGCGTCTGACGATGACTTTGTTGTTGGACACGTTGGTCGCCGCACCGCGTCTTTAGTCGCAACTTGCAGCACTGCAGATCCGTCCTTTCGCGACTCGTTTGTCACCTGAGCCTCTTGACTTTCTGTACCCTCCATCGAGAAAAAATTGTGTGGGAAAAAGATTCTTATGCGGATCGCGAAGTTTACGCAGCGATTTGGAAGTAGGAAGGAGCTGCGTAGGCAAACAAACTAGTTGGCCTACGAAGGCGCCCCACGTCATAGGTTGGTCGTCCTGTCCTGTGCAATTTCGATTTCACGAGCTTGAGTCGGGGAAACAGGCATTCTAACCGAACTGCGCTGGCCATAAATTGGCGCTCTGCGTTCCCAGGACTATGGACCGTGCAATTCACGTGCGAAAAACCATGGGATATCGGTACGTTGGAAATGCAGAATTCGAACCAAGATTGCCCATTACGTCACAGCAGCGGGTTGAAACGGACACCACGTGCCAGCAAGGATCGAGCTAAGCCGCATCAATACGGAGCATGCATTCCCGGAAACTGTTATGAATAGAGCCTCCTCTTCTAAGATAGTTGGCTCATGGCGGTTTGTGCGTTGGTGGACGCGTGAAAAGTGTCCTTGTATGCGAGCACTGAGAGTGGTTCGAGGCATGTTATAGAGGCGTGCAGCGTCAGATAAATTTTTGAATTTCCTCGTACTTGATCGCATAGACGGCAAGAACAAGTTTGCCTTCTTTTCCAAGCTGTAAATGCAATTTTGGAGCCGTCGTAATCCTAGGATGATGTGCTCGATGATGCTATATAAAGAATGTCCGCTCGATGTTGGATCACGTTGTGCATCTTTAGGTTCCACAGCTCCAACCAATCGGGCTTTGGGCATACCAAAATTGCCGTATTGAGTAATTTTTATAGCACAGCCTTTCGTTCTCCCAGCGGTTTGGAGTCGTTGGCGGAGTTAAAACAACGAGGCCGTTGAAATATGTGCGGTATTCCCACGCCTGAATTTAGTATAAAGACGATTCGGGAGAAAGGATGAGTATTGGTGTCATCGCCTCTTGTCTCAAAAGTGAAGTCAAACCGTGGGCCGTTCAAAATGCCAGCAAGTCGAATTGTTTTCATCACCGGTGCGAACACCGGTCTTGGTTTACAAACCGTCAAATCTCTATGTAGATCCAGCAGACCCTACACCATCCTACTGGGTGGTAGGAACATTCAGAAGGCTATTGCTGCTGTTGAAGAAACGACACAAGAATATTCGGAGAGCCAAAGCACGGTCGAGCCGATTCAAATCGATGTTGAGAGTGATGCCTCGATCGAACAAGCTTTCGAAACTGTTAGAGATAAGTACGGAAGGGTCGACGTCCTCATTAACAACGCAGGCAGGTAGCCCTGTTCTTGTTATTGCTGTTCTTGTGGTCGGCAGACCGTTCGACTCACGCTTTGCAGGTGCATCCTTCGACCAGTCAGCTGGGGACGGAAATATGACGCTCCGCCAGCTTTGGAACAAAACCTGGGATGTGAACGTAGCAGGAACATTCGTCAACACGTACACCTTTGTGCCACTCCTCCTCAAGTCATCCGAACCTCGCTTGATATTCATCACCAGCGGGACCTCAGTATTAGCAGAGCATGGAAGCCAAGTCTTACCAATCAATAGACCTCCAGCAGCAGGTTGGCCGAAGCCAACTTTATCGATTCCTGCATACCGTTCATCAAAGACAGGCCTGAACATGATGATGCTGGAGTGGTCGCGGTTGCTGAAAGAGGATGGCGTCAAAGTCATTGCCATCTCCCCAGGCATGCTCGCCACTGGCCTGGGAGGCAATCCAGAGGCTCTCAAAGCGTCAGGTGCGTTAGACCCTAAGATTGGAGCCGACCTTGTCCGTGATGTTGTGGAAGGGGCTCGGGATAGTGATATGGGTAAGGCTATTAGGAAAGATATGGTGCAACCATGGTGAAGGTTCTCAAACCGAAGAAAAACAAAGGCGCGGTGAATAGACAGCCTCCTACGCCTTCATACCTGCTCTAGATCTGTACTAGATCCAAGTGTTAGGATGACCAATTCTATTTTGATCCCTCATCTCTACGAATTTAATTCTGTCGATTTCTGACGTCAACTACCAACAACTGGAGATATCGTCCTGTCGTGTATGAGAGCCGACTTTGTTAGATTATTCATCTCCAGAAGGAAACATGAAGTCATCCCACGTTGGTGGGTCAAAGCCGGCGAACACGCCGTCAAAAGCTGCGCCTTCTGTACTCATGAAGCTGAACGGATCAAGAGCTTCGAATTGAGGACCTTCGAGCATTGACGTCGGCGAGCACCAGCTGGAACCGTCCGGTCTCCGGTCAAATTCAGTCCCAACTTGAGTTAATGGCGTTGGGTCCGTAACGTCAATTCGCTCTTCAGCACTAGATCTATTCCGAACTGAAGCTGTGGCGGCATTTCGCAGCACTAGCCGTATGGCCAAGGACACCTTCCGCGCGTCTCTGCTAGCAGACGCCTTCTCCACGCATATGGTATGTGACTGCTCAAGCAACGCGAATATCTCGCTGCCCACGCCAATTGTAGGCAGGCCAGCACCAACACTCCTCTTAAGACATATGTTGGTGTACAAGCAAAGGACAATCACTCCGAGTAGAAAGTCGTTGAAGTAATAGCAGTTAAACATCCACTTCACCTCGTAGAGTTGTCCACCGGGCGCGAATTCTTTGTACGCATTGATCACCAAACGAACTATGGACAGTCCAGCCTCAATACACTTTTCTGTACTATATTCGTTACCTTGTGTCATGTATTTGCGGTGCAAAATGCACAGGCTTTTCAGTGAGAGCAACTCGAGATAAAACCTGGTCATGATCAGAAAGGGCGGGTCTCCCAGACAATCCGGAATCCGTCGAACACGAAGCACGTCTGGAACAGTTTCTTTCGCCATTCTGATCTCCTCGTCTTGCGTTCTGACCTCGCTCTCAGATTTAAGTCGTAGAGACAGGGCATCTTGGCAAACTTTGCTGAAGCTGGGCACAAGCCGATCCTTCACAATGAACCAAAGCAGTCCTGTAGCCTCACTTTCCGGTCTGGAAGGTGGCAGTTCGGTTGAATCAGGACCAAAGTCTGAATCGAGTAAGTTGCGTGGAGAGCGCGTGTCACAATTCTCGAGGCGGATATTACAGGGCAGACCCAGTTGGAACGCAAGCATCATGTCAATCTGCTTGAATCCAGCCCTACAGCGCCCATTTCATTAGCGACTGGCTCAACCAGAGCGGAACTTGGGCCACGGCGAATAAACCCACCAGAAGCGACGTCTCATTTCGCCTTCGAAGACGCTGAAAGAGCCGAAGAAGTCCGGGTCACGGTGATATCCCATCTCGTATGCGATCCTCACCGCCATGGACATCATTGCTCCCGCCTCACGGCTTGGGTCCAGAGTCTTCATGCTGACGCAGTGTGCATAGAAGAGCAGCGCTTCAGGACCATATGGCTGAGCGCGATAATAATGGCCAATGACCAAGCACTCTCCCGCCGCAGCATGAAAGCCCGGGCTCAAGCCTGCCACTTTGACCTGTGCTGAAGCCATGGCTGCACCCTCTCCGGCCATCGAAGACAGATTTAAGGCTGAAAATAGTAAGCTTAGCCAGAGGGGCGACACGACGCCCGGTTGACTCCAGAACTCCACGTACTCGCGCCGGAACTGTTGGGCATGGATGAAGGGCAAGATAAACGTATCTCCCACGAAGAACACTTCCAGAAGCCGATCGGACTCTTCTCTAGAGGGCATATATCTTTTCAGCACCTCTTCGATCGAACGTGACGATGCCGAACCGAATATTCGCTCGCTGCCACGCATCCTGTACTCTGCCGATGGCATCCGTTCCACTTCTTCTCTCACCTCTGGCAACGCAAGCTTCAAGTCATGGATGCTGTTCATTATATCTTCCAGAACAGTAGGGTATTTCGCCTTGGCGTCGGCACTCCAAGCACTTAACTCATTGCGATCTTGGCGGTCAATTGCGTCCGGAGGCGTTGTTGGCTGCTGTAAAGGAGTCATCGGCGCCGCTTGGTTCTGCATCAACAGTGTGACCATGCGCTCCAGCTTGTCAAGTCTATCTTCAGCTACGGATCTAGTCATGTCTTCGCCAGCACTCGGCTTCTGATAAGAACATGACGAGCCTCCATTTCTTTTCACACAGCTGCTGCACGGACGTCCCTTGTTGCATCGGACCTTTGCATCACGGCACTGGTCGCAAGCAAGTGACTCTCGAGGCCGTTTGGCGACTTTGCGTGCTTGCGTATCTTGAGAACCGACGTTGATTCTGAATCTGCCGGTGTACTTGGATATGTCCGACATGACAGCGAGTTCGAGATTGGCGAAGTTGGAAGACGCGTCTCTGTCATTGCCTATATTCCTGCCAACGGCCAAGACTTACAAATCCACGTTGGTGTGTTTGCTTCACGCTGGTGGTTTCTTCTACATGCATCACCAGAGGTTTTGTAAGCACGTAGGGATCGCGGCTGATACGCAGTGATTGAAGCCCCGCCAAGACGCCCTGTGCTGCTGCGACCAGCGAAAAGAGGGTGGTCTGATGTCATGGTTCTATAGCCTGCAAACATTACCTTGGGTGTCAAATTAGCAGTTTGTCGAAATCTCATTTCGGCACAGGCATGAACGCGGTTTAGCCTAGCCACCCAAAGGGGATTTCTCAAAACAGAGGCAGAGGATATCGACGCTCAGCATGCAACTAGATGCAGCCGTGATTGAGCTTCTGAATTTGAACCCTGAGGTCACTTCGGTGGTCTCGGCGGGCGGGGGAGGTTGCAGTTCTGCTTCAACGAGCAAAATCACGACGAAAGATAGCGATGGGAAGCCGAAATACTTCTTCATGAAGACCGGCACAGGCAAGGATGCTAAAATTATGTTTCAAGGTTAGTGACGCTCTGTTCGTATCGTTGCCGAACCACAATGTGCTGCAACACAACCCCAGGTCAGCAAAGCTATTATGCGTACAAGGTTTTTTTAAAGAAGAAAAATGAAAAAAAAACTTTAACCTGCGTCTAGATTGGCTGTGGATTCAGAATGCCGTGGTGACATGTTTGACATGTTGCTAACTATGCCACAGGTGAACATGCTTCGCTGAGCGCAATTCATGATGTAGTGCCTTCCCTTTGTCCCCAGTCCTACGGCTGGGGTTCATTTTCTGCCAATCCATCAACATACTACCTAGTTACCGATTATCTCGATCTATCCTCAAGGCGATCGTCATCTTCAGGCAGCAAAGGAGTCCTGAGCTTGGCGGAGAAGCTTGCAAAATTGCACACCACGCCAGCACCCATACCGGAGGGATATTCTAAGCCCCAGTTTGGATTCCCTGCTACGACATGCTGTGGTGATACACCGCAGGACAACAGCTACAAGGAGAGTTGGGCGGATTTCTTTGCGAATAACCGGTTGCTCTTCATCCTGACGAGGTCTGAAATGTCAAACGGGAAGGACGAGGAACTTCGCCGTCTAGTAGAACAGACCGTTTCCCAGGTCGTTCCGAAACTGCTAAGTGACGAGCATCTCAATCACGGCAAAGGAGTCACGCCTGTTGTTGTGCACGGAGACCTGTGGAGTGGAAATGCTAGTCGAGGCGTCATTGGCGGTGAAGGGGAGCCTCAAGACGTCGTTTTCGACTCGAGCGCGTGCTACGCGCACAACGAGTTTGAGCTGGGAATAATGAAAATGTTTGGAGGGTTTGGCGGCTCTTTTTTAAGAGACTATCATAAATTATGCCCGAAGACAGAACCGGTGGATGAATACGACGATCGAATAGAGTTGTACGAGCTATACCACCACCTCAACCATCATGTGGGTTTACGATCGTGTATGCATGAGCTTCGTCGCTGATCATCACACAGGCATTGTTCGGAGGCGGTTACCGATCTGGTGCTGTGAGCATAATGAAGAGACTGTTGCGCAAATATGGCGATGCCGCCTCGTAGTATTTGCAATTGCTCAGGGGAGGTCTGTGCAGTACGTACACATATTATGATGGTTTCAGCTGGGAAAGAGTGTTTTAAGCTTATTTCTTACTTACTACGTCTACCCATGCAGGAGATTGGTGTATCAAAATTAATATTGAGCCTAGACAAAATTGCAGTACGCTACGGAATTGAGGGACGACGGATGACCCAACCAAATTCTGATGAATAAGTGCTGGCTGGTCAGTAATTTCGCGAGCACCTGATGTGGAGCGGCTGTTTGTTGTAGCGCCTTCACGCGTTCCTACACAATCGGGGAGACCGTGGGACGCGTAGGCTTGCAGACAACACTTCAATAGCGCCTCGAGGCATTCTAAAGACCAGTGACGACGTTTGCGCACACGTCATTAAGCGAACGAGAGCTCAGCTGAGGTCCGGAATTCCCACAAGCTCTACTTGTGAGGGATCGAAGGGTTTTGCGGCAGCTGTTATGGGCGGAAACAGAAAGCCGGCTAGACTGCGCTGATCAATTTTATGTAATCGATCTAGCCACGATTGACTTATCTCCCCCAAAATTGTGGGCACGTGGGTAAGGAGGGCTCGAGTGTCCTGGTGCCGAGGGACTATTTTTGGACGGCCAATTTAGGTGGAGATGTGCAGTTTTTTCCTTGCTCGTAGCTGAACATCATATACCTTTGTCGCCGGATGCAAACGCGCTGGCTGGTAAAAAAAAAATCCCGACGATTCAGAACGACGTTCAGGGCATCCTTATACGCGAACTCGCTAGAACCCCAAAGTCACGGCAGCGGCTGATGGACCAAAGCAGTGCAACTGTGTGAAGGTGGCCGTCAAAACCTCGTGAAGTTGCCGGAAAGGGGTAATGGGCTGAGCGCTAGTGGAATGGTGGCGCGCGACTTGGATTCATCCTCGTTCCTAGCAAATTTCGCGATACGATCACAGAACTGAGAAAATCGTCGTCGTCTTGAGAGCCAAAGTCGGCCGACGATCGATGCGGTCAGAAATTCGCCGGTGGGAGAAGATTCCAGATTTCCTCTGGAGCGTGCGAAGAAATGCTCGACTGTCGACACGTTCAGAAAGATCCGCCGACGACAAACTGTGTTTCGCTCGCCAAGTCTTCTGTAGTGCCTTTGGCAGTTGGGTGGCTTGAACCTGTCCCGTCTCAGCCCAGAAGCGCAGCCCCTACAGCAAATCAACGCTCTCGACTCAAGCTGCTCCAGAAAAATACACCGGTCAAGTCCAGACTTAGCTTTTTGCGTTAATGCAGGAACAAGAACAAGCGCAGGCGTTAAAAATCAAGCCACAAATGTTCCGGTTGACTCGGAATAGGAACGTTGCCTTTACTCATCATACTGCGATACCACCTCAGGGGAGGGGGGGTTCAGGTAGTATCTGTATTCGTCTTGACCGGTTTTTGCTGTAGCCTGTCTGTTGCCAGTTAGGAGACTATGTCCGCTTAGCGACGCCTTGTCAGAGTACGGGCGTCTTGCCCAAATTTCGAAAGTACTTCTTGCAGCGAGCGCCTCGCTCGTGTTCCATTCTTTCTCACCTACCTCCTCCTCAACTCTCGTACTGTACTTTGTACGTACGGCCTTCTTTCCTTACCTTTGCAGACGATTGTCTGCGTCCTCTCGTTGACCGTCCGGTCCATCCGCTCCTTTACTGGCCTAGGCCAATAAGCACTCCTTTCACCTTATTTTTAAGTATTTATTGGGGGTCGTGTGTTGTGTTCATAATGTATTTCACAAGCTTCGTCTCAACTGTGCTCGCAGCAGCTTCGGTTGTCTCGGCGTCTCCACATAGCATCAAGAAGCGTTATAGCGGTTCTGACAAAGTTGTTGCGTACTGGGGCAACACGGGATATTCAAGCGGAAACATCGACATCTCAACCATCTGCAGCAACAAGAATGTCGACATCGTTATCCTTTCCTTCCTGACGGAGTTCCCTGATCAAACAACCAACGGCGTACCTGTGTTGAACTTCGGCAATGCATGTGGCGACACATACTCCAACGGTCTGCTCAAGTGTCCTGGCATCGCCGCTGGTATCACGCAATGTCAGCTTGCTGGAAAGGAAGTCATGCTCTCGCTCGGCGGCGCATACCCAGCCAACCAAGCCTTCGCCTCAGCAGAGTCGGCCATTGCCTTTGCTGACTGGCTCTGGGACAACTTCGGGTCTGACACATCGCTGAGCACTACGCGTCCTTTCTTGACCTCTGTCATTGACGGTATTGATCTCGACATTGAGTCGAACGTTGCCGATGACCAGAAGCAAGCGTACTTCCCGGACTTCATCACTGAGCTTCGCGCCAAGTCTGGCAACACCTGGAAGATCTCAGCCGCACCGCAGTGTGTTATCCCTGACGCTCACTTTTCAGACTATATCCAGAGCAGCTGGTTCGATTACATCTTCGTCCAGCTCTACAACACAGACGGCTGCTCTGCTAGCGATCTCGTGAACACTCCGTCTGCATCCACCAACACCTTCGCAAAATGGATTAGTGGCGCCCTGTCACCGTTGAGCGGCTACGAGAACCCAGACACATTGGTCTTCGCCGGTTTGGTAAGTTCGCTGAACCTTGCCCTCTTGGATTCAATGTTGACCGCTTGACAGCCCGCTAGCACGATTGCTTCCACCGGTACTGACTCTGGCTCCCGATTCTACTTGACTCCAAGTCAGGTTAAGGAGCTCGTCTATCAGTTCGCCTCCTCAAGCAGCTTCGGCGGTATCTCATTGTGGGACGCCACCTACGACTACTACAACACCATCTGTGACCAGCCATACTCTTACTGGGTCAAGACTGCTATGCAGCAGGTCGCGGCTGGAAACTTGGCGCCTTTCCCGAGTGCTTGTTCAGTTTCGTCAGCCAGCAGCAGCAGCAGCGTTGCCAGTGCAACCTCCAGCTCTACCACTTGGAGTTCCTCATCTGTTGTTGCAACGACGACCTCCTCCGCCGTGTCAGTCAGCTCCAGCTCCTCGTCCATTGCCTCCTCTTCCTCCGCTCCAGCTGCAGTTTCGTCGTCTTCCAGCGTTGCTTCGAGCTCATCCTCCGCTCCAGCTGTCGTCTCGTCTTCCAGCGTTGCTCCAAGCTCTTCGTCCAGCGCCGGACCAGCCGTCATCTCATCGTCTTCTAGCGTTGCTCCAAGCTCTTCGTCCAGCGCCGGACCAGCCGTCATCTCATCGTCTTCTAGCGTTGCTCCAAGCTCTTCGTCCAGCGCCGGA